GAGGGAGAGAGGAGTTGGAGAATGAAGGGAAAACAGGGGAAAGGAAGGGGAAAGGGAAAAAGGGTGGACACCGCTCCGTTCGTCTCTGGCTGCGAGGTGCTAACCAGTCAGCACCACCGAACAACCGCGCTGCGCCCACTTGGACTATTGCCTAGACTCGACTCGCCCGGGGCCAACGCTTCTCGTCCTTTTATTTTTGGCCGTTCTAAACTCCCCTGGGCCTAGTGGCCTTGATGGGCTGCCAACGGGCCCTGCTTGGTCGTGCCTTGGCCCTGCCACTTACTCCTATGCCACCCAATGGGCCCGCGAGGGTTCCTGGAGAGTGGGTTCGAGCACTCCGGCCAACGCGCTGTGACTCGCCAATATTGGATTATTGGGATCCACCGAACTATGCCGCTTTGTTATGGTCCCTCCCCTGAAATCACCAGCAAACGGTTTGACCAAACCGAGTTAGCAGCAGGTTCGGATTCTGCGGGCGGCCGAGGTAGCATGCGACCAAGACGATGGGCAGTCAGGTTTAACGTGATAAGGTTGTTGTTCCCCAGAGTCAGTCCATGGTATGCGCATAACACCGGTGTCTCAGAAGTAGTCTTAAGACACGATCATCCACACAACAAATTACTTAGCTGGGCAATCACATTGAAAACCTCGAAACACTGAATAATGCCGAGTGGGTCGTTTCAGGCTGTTGCTAGGTTCTCGATGATGCAATATCATCAGGGTCAAGAGACCAACCCCAATCTCCAAATTAAATCTATGCACTGCCTCTCCGGGAGTCTGCAGAATTGATGCTTAAACTAGATTACCTGTCTCAGCTGTCTCAGGGTACCAAATAACAGTATCCACATGCATGCAGCCTGTCCTCATGGTTGGTAGAGAAGGTATAGGCCAACCCTCCGCCAACAGAAAAAAGGATAGAATCAGCACCATCCTTCGGGTTCCATCTGTAACCTGATTTGAATCATGGGGCAACTCGTACCCACAGTTTGGAACTCTGCTTCTCTTCTATTGCCAGTTATTTTCCATCCTCATCGGTCGGAGTCAACCCCTCATGTATTCTCTTTCCGTCGAGGAGGGCAATTGCGACCATATTGATTGAATGCAATCCAGACAATAGCAATATAACATCTTTCGGGCGAAACTCCAAGCAAAACATTTCCACTCTGACTTCGTACCTATGCCCACGTTATGGTTACCCATCTGATTCTTATCATTTTCCGACCAACCACGCCAGGCACAATGTGTCTATATATATCTCACAACCCATCGGAGAGCAATCCTCAACACCGTGCAGCTACCTAGACACCCGGGATTACACATGTCGAACACGTTGGCAGCCACGAGGTGGTCACTTATGAATCTATGAATGTGCCGGTGACGTGATCAAAAATCGTTGGTATCGAGGTTGTGTCCGTTGCAGATACCGGGAGCGACAGAGCAGGTGCAGGCTACACACTGTCCATTGAAACGGATAGTTTAGGTCTGAGTATGTCTTTCGGGAAAATACATGAAGGATCAACCTTTTGGCCCGCGCGCGAGGAATAAGAAGTGCCCCATGCATGGTCGACGTCGAATTTATACATGGCGAAAGGGCAAATTATCTCGAGAGCCGATACCATTAGGGGGCTCTGCTTAGTATAGTGACAAGACGCAGCAAGAGGCGAATACAGGACCTGGTAAGCATACGATCATCGCTAGGCCTGATCAATACGGAGGCAAATATCCATAATCACCGATTCAGTTGAATCCGACCATCCGGGCTGTCTTGGAGACCCGAAAAGCGCCTGCGCTGCAGTCTACCGGACGAATCGATCAGAACCACGGCATATAACGTAACAGGAAGCCCCTGGAAGTCTTCAACTTCACCAAGAGTGAAGAGTTCTTCTGCCAAGCCTCGACAGCTGGCAATCGCAGTTTAAACCGCCGGCAAGCCCTCACTCGAATCTGCGCACTCCACCAAGGCAGCGTGGCCCGCGTAACTAACTGGTCACTCAACAAAGTCTGAGGATTTTAGGTCAAGCGGTCAACAGCACGCCTGACAGAAACAAAACGGAAATTGATACATCTATCACGAGTGGATCCTTCCGATCGATTAGCTTGGATGTAAAAAAGAAAATTACAGCAGTGCCGGCTAGGTTCCTGGAAACTGGGAGGGAACGGAGTACATCTGGGGAGAGGAACTTGATCTACGGTACCTCGCATACAGCCACAGGATATTTATGGAGCGACTCCTCGCACGACATCTGACATGTCTACCCGTTCGTTAGTGTGTCTTACCGTCAAGTTTATCCTACAGCACTAAACTGAGGAGCGAGTCACCATAGCCATCACCCACTAATTTCTCTCGGCCAGCTGCCCAAAATCGAGAAATCTGTTCCCGTCCATCCTCCACACCCAGTTCTAGTCCAACAGCAAATGCAAGACTAGCGCCAACGGAGGGAGAGAACGATCGCAGAGTTTCTGCGAGTAATAGATTGACACCGAACTGGTGCGACCCTCTTGTGTAAGGATCTGGACGAGCAACATCCTTGTTCGTCTGCGCCCGTATTTGTATGACTTGGGTGCTATCGGATTTGTTGTGTCGGGCATTTTGCAAACGCCGTCTTCGCTGCGTGCAAAGAGGGACGGGATGAGGTTGATTGATGGTATGTGTTGAATACCTTGAGAACCAAGTGGTGGCTAATGGGATTAGATCCTGTATCATAGAGGCTAGCTAACCAGGACTGGAATCGGGAAGATTGTCTTGGGACTAGAGTTGGTTTGTAGTGTCGGAGCCGCGGGGCGATGAAATTTTTCTTCCAGCGCACTAACTACAGAAGTCCTGTACAGAGATCTATCTAGTAATTCGTTCGGGCAAGAGCTCAAACTACGCGACGGGGGTCCAAGGATCAGTGTGATGATGGTGACGCAAGGGGGCTGGCGGGAGTCGATGGGAACATTCAACACTAACGGTCGCTAAGAGGCTAACACTCGCGCCAGTCTCTACCGGAGGCTGTCCAAGCGTAATGCAAAGGCTCATGTTTAGGTTTTGACTTTGGTATCTATGGAGTATTGTATATCGCCGACCCTGACGACCGGAGACGCTAGTAATGAGACTCGCAGTTGGACTCGAAATCAGGAGCGCTAATTTCTGTTAGGGGCAATAGTGTCGCTGTACTGGAGAATAGGAGAGGGGGCACTTGGGGCGGTGATGGCCCTTGGCTCTAAAAGGTAGAGAGTTTCGTCACCATGTATCAGTTGTATAGTTTCTTGTCTGTAGATGGTAGGGTGTATTTCGCTTCCAATAGTCGGCGGTATCCCGTCTGGACGTCCAACTTTTAAAGATCGTAGCTGACCCGAGCCAGGCCGGTTGAACCGGACCTTTAAAGCAGCAAACCCCTTCTGTTTCCTTTATTGAAGTTTTGACCGGAAAACGACGGTTGTGGCCAACGAGCGTCGGGCCAGGCCTGAAAGGGTGCACCTCTCATCCACAGGCGAGCCAGGTGGCGGGCCCTTGGTTGTAGCTTGAGTTATGGAGTGCTCAAGAATGTCTCTTTCCGGGACAAGCCGGACAGAGAAGATGTGTAGTCTGAAGATGGTACGCATTGAAGAGTAGTAACTACTTTCGATCTCCAAAGTATAGGAAAAGAAAGGGCTTCATATTGGTAACGAGTCGAAGAGTAAAAAGAGTTGATATCTAGGTAACTTAGCATGATTCGTAGTTTAGTCATGTAGCCGGCGCAGAGCCCTGAGCAGATTGTAAATATAGTCCGGATTACCGGATGTAATTCACCAAGATAGTCTAGATTGTGGATGTGAACGAACAAGTCCAGGTAGACCGCCCGTATCTGATACTTGACCAAGACGCCCGGAGGGTCTGCCAAGTGGATCCGATCGGTCTCCAATTTTAGGGCTGCTAAAATGGCTGAAGCTTCGGCGCGGTGGATTTCCTGCATAGGGTGATGTACTCCGTACTGAGATGAAATGAAATGAGACGAGAGGAAATTGGAATAGGATAAGATCAGTATTTGTATTAATTGAGATGTATTTGTATTAATTGATCTCAATTGATCTCTTTCCCCCTCACCTGGAGGCCTTTCTGGCCCCCGAGAGACCGCCTCGGGTACTGTCAAATCATACTTTGCTAGCTTGTTATTCCCAGCAATTTCTACAACAATTCATCTCTAGCTTCGAGACCTCCCATCAACTCCTAAATCCCGATCCTAATTCTTTCCTACGTAGGTGATCATCAACACTCGTCTATTCTGTCGGCCGGTGAATACCTGTTCGTTATGCTTGAGTTTGCCGGTATGCTTCCGAAGCAGCGCCAACAGGCCCATCCATGGATTAGGCTCTAACATGCCAGGAGGTTGGCGACATGGACCGCTAGGAACATTTCGCCGACGACCTGAGGGGGAAGTGACTTCACGCTTTCACTCTCACCACCCGGGGCAGCCGAAATGGTCGTCGGGATCCTAGGATCGAAGTGGTTGGTTTGTATGTACGCCCATGGTCGATCTGGCGGTCAGGCCGCGTTGGGGAATTTGCATGAAGGAAAATTGTGTTTGTTGTCAATTATCTGGTAGCAAAAGAATAGAATCAAGGTTAGAGCGTTCGGGGGTTGTCATAGACGTAGAAGGATCCGCAGAATGGAAGAAGCTTGACGTTGATTCACGACGTACTGGACTGATACGTACCGAGTTCGCAACTGATAGCTCTGGAGGATCGAGGTGTAAATAAGTGGATGGGGCACTAAAAAAGAAGCGCCGGGAGAGCCAGAGATCCAGCGATCGTAACAGTAATAACAATACCGTACGTCAGGCATGTGCCGCCTCACTGATAGTCTGGGCCTTGGCAGTACATGATTCGACACGGTAAATACCCAGTCGTAGAATGTACCACCATCGATCGACACCAGTCCAAGGCGTCATGGCCGTTCGGTGAATACACCATCGGTACAGCATTCGTACAGCCTCCGTACGACAAGCGGCTGATCTGCTCCTCCGCCAGCATCATTTTCTGCCCACTCTCTTATCTATCATTTTCCCATCCTCACCTTTCCTTTTTCCTGCTTCTTGTCCGTTTCCTTCCTTTTTCGTGCTACACTTTTCGCCCTCCGTTTCTTCTTCCTTCATCCTTTTCTTCCTCCGCCAACCCCTCTCCTCCTCCCTTTTTTTCCCCTCCTCTCACCCCCCGAAATCTAGGCCATCGACGGCTCTCCCGAGAAAAAAAAAAGCAAGAGATCATCACAACCCACACAGCTGGGCTGTCATGCTGCCGCCCTGTGTGACAGCTGGACTACGTTAATGCCGTGCTTGGTCTCTCGCCTACATTCCCACTCGTCGACCCACTAAACTTCCAGCCCGGATTTCCTTCTTTGCACAACGCATTCCTCCATTCGACTATCCTCCACCTTGACCCTTTATCGGCCGCGATCATTTCCTCCACTCACCACCAACCCCCATTATCCCCTCTATCCCCCCTCCCCCCATCCCTCCCTACGCTATCCCTCCGCCACCCCTTGCGCGAATCTTTCTCTCCTAGGGTTCTAGGGTCCTTAGGGTCCACCTCCCCCCAACACCCGCTCGTCCATTCTCGGGGATCGCCTCTCCACAAGGCACATGAGGACGATCGGCAAGCTGGGAGATTCCTGGAGCATGCACGGAGCAGAGTAACGTCGCGACGCCTCTTCCATTGCCCTCTACCTGCCGGGCCCTGTCCTGCCACAGCTACTGCTGCACCGACAAACGAAGGGGAGATTTTCATCGTTTCCAATTCTTTGTCGCCTTGCATCTTCACTGGCCCTGCTCGACTCGCTACCCGCATTTCTGATCCTCTCATTGCTCCCTTCGACCAATTCTCCCTCGCTCTCTTCTTCTCCATCATCTCCGTCCCTTCACCTTCTCCTTCCACCCTTCTCTCTCACCCCAGTCTCGTCTGTACATGCCCTGGGCTCGTGACTCCTGAGAAGAAGACCCGAAGAGAAGTGTGAAACCCGGAGGAAACAAAAATAAGAGCTCTCCGTCTCTTGCTTCCTCTCGCTCTCCGCCGATCCCCTTCTGTTCCCTCCTTTGGTGAGTCTCCCCTCCCCTCTCGTCCTGGACTGGCCCTTGGTACCTTTTGTGGGGGAGACAAACAGGTCGCATGCTCCTGCACACGCGAGGACCATAACCCGATCAATTAGGCTAACAGGGGCTTTATCTTCATCTAGTCTTATATTCCTTCGTGTACGCCGTTCCTGGAGCCTGGTGCCCGCTGCAAATACCGGTCGACAAAAGACACTCTCAGCCCCGTGACCTAGGCTCGAGACAAATCGAACTCGTGCAAATACCGTCGACCGTCCCGTTCCAGTACATATCTCAATATCCCTTCGTCGGACCGCTTTTCTGGGAATGGCTTCCACGATTGCTGCCAATGCAACCGGCGTACACAACGTGAGTGATGGCGATACATGGAATGTGAAGCAGGCATTGACAACGGGACCACAGGTACGATCGAACCGCTCCAACATGGGTTCATCAGGGATGAACAACGACCGCGCCCGCGGATCGCACAGCAACAACGTGGGGAAGAGCTTCGGTGCTGGGAAGCCCAACTGGAATAATATCTGGGGCGACGCTAACCTGGGAAATGGCTTTGGAGATGGTATGTAACGCCCGGGGACGAAATTGAGTTTGACAGAAATTGGAGATCCTTTGCTGATCGGGTATAGATCAACACATCGGAGATGCTGCCTTTGAAGGAAAGTCAGGCTCGGGCTCACTCCTGTCCACGTCGGAGTCAGATGGTTGGGCTGGACGTCCAAACCTTCCTTGGAGCACTGTGAACTCGTCACTTTCGATGAGCCAGAATCGTGGTGGTATGGCAACCTCGCCGATTCAAACCCGTGCCAATGACCGAAGCGCGCCTGCTCTGAACGATACTGGCGAATCTTCCTATTTTTCGCTTCCCCGCACCACTAGCATCGGTACCTCCGCCAATACTGCGAGTCACCGACCTTACCTTAACTCTGGATCTGAGGGTGTGTCGCCCTCGGGAGATGGCATGTCCTTCAATGCCTTCCCTGGCCTTCGGAATGGGGATGGACGTCGGCAGATGAGCTCTTCTGGCCTTAGCGGCAGCCCCGTGGGAGTAACGTTCCCAGTCAACGCCGGCTTCTCTGGCTCGCTAGACGGGTCCCGCCAGGACGAGATGTCTGCCTCGATGGGCATGGGCACTATTGCTTCTGGTTTGCCCGATGGCGTGTCCCCGCCTCAGTCGCGCAGCGGACTCTCTCACATCCCTCACAACTCGACTTCTTACGTCCCTCAACGGCCAGCTCATTCGGCTCATCCCTCTTTCTACTCCGACAACCACAGCGTCGAGGGTCGCTATGGCAGCGGGTCGATTGACCTGTCCGGTGGTTTCAGCAAGCTCCAATTGAATGAGAGTGGATACGTTAACCAGACCGGTGGCCAACGTCCCCCCTTCACGACCCATGCATCATATGATGGGTCTCTGCCCCGTGGCAAGTTCCAGAACAGCGGTGATCCTAGCTACCAGACTCTCGCCGGTTATGGTGCTGAAGCCCCCCACGATGTGCACCTGGCCTATCAGGCACGTTCTCGTGGAGGTGATAACGGATCAATCTCTCCTTCAGACTACGCTCGCATGGATAGCCCCTTATATGCTGGGGCGGACAGTGCTGCCCAGTATCGCAACGCGTCTGGTAGCCGTGTGGGCGACCAAGTGGCCTTCGAGCGCAGACTGCGGACCTTCCAAGACCAGGAGTTCATTCAGGGTCAGGCTGATTCACTTCAACGCATGCCAATGGCCTCGCAATTCGATTACCAGGCCTATCAGGCGACACGGTTGAATGCCTTGCAGGGTTTCTACCCCATTGCGCAGCTCGGTGGGCTCGGTCCTGCAGCTTTGGCTCGCGCACACCGTGATGACCCCGCTCAGGTTGTTCGCAGCCCTCTACTTGAGGAATTCCGCGCCAACAGCAAGGGCAACAAGCGCTATGAGTTGAAAGACATCTACAATCATGTTGTGGAGTTCAGTGGCGACCAGCACGGCTCGCGCTTCATTCAGCAGAAGCTGGAGACCGCAAACAGCGACGAGAAGGAGCAGGTCTTCCGCGAGATCCAGCCGAACTCATTGCAGCTGATGACTGATGTCTTTGGTAACTATGTTGTGCAGAAGCTCTTTGAGCATGGCAACCAGAGCCAAAAGAAGATCCTCGCTAATCAGATGCGGGGACATGTGCTTGCTCTCTCGACTCAGATGTATGGCTGCCGTGTCGTGCAAAAGGCACTGGAGCACATCCTCACCGACCAGCAGGCCGCTATGGTCAAAGAGTTGGAGAACCACGTCCTGAAGTGCGTGCGGGACCAGAATGGCAACCACGTCATCCAAAAGGCCATTGAGCGTGTGCCATCTCAGTATGTGCAATTCATCATCAATGCCTTCCGGGGTCAGGTCAATCGCCATGCTGCGCACCCGTACGGATGCCGTGTCATCCAGCGTATGTTAGAGCACTGTGAGGAGGTTGACCGTGAATCCATTCTCAGCGAGCTGCACGCATGCACCTCGAGTCTCATCCCTGACCAGTTTGGCAACTACGTGATTCAGCATGTCATCGAAAACGGTGACGCCAAGGACCGTGACCGCATGATTCAGATTGTCATGTCGCAACTGCTGGCATATTCAAAGCACAAGTTTGCTAGCAATGTGGTCGAGAAGAGTATTGAGTTTGGCGACGAACAGCAGCGCCACAACATCATCTCTACTCTGACCTCGCCGAACGAGCGTGGTGAAAGCCCGCTGCTCGGTTTGATGCGTGATCAATATGGCAACTATGTCATTCAGAAGGTTCTCGGCCAGCTGAAGGGCGACGAGCGCGAAGCTCTGATTGAGCAGATCAAGCCCCTGCTGAGCCAGTTGAAGAAGTTCAGCTACGGCAAGCAGATTGTGGCCATTGAGAAGCTCATTTTCGACCCCAACTCCCCGACTGCCGGCCCGCTGCCTCACGCCACCTCTACCACACCTCCCAACTCTCACAAATCCTCTCCGCAACCCCTGAAGCGCACTATCCCCGCCATGGAGCAGCCGCGGGCTCCCTTTGTTGGCACTGCGCCACCAACCCCGCCCCCGACGGAGAATCAGGGCACCGTCGACGACTCATTTGAGTCTAAGGGGCTTTGCAAAAGCACCGTGACCTCGGTTTCGAGTCCCGAGACGGGAGGCACCGGCGTTCCCGTCCCGGTCGATGGTCACTAATGTGCTTGCACGTAATTCGTTGCGCACTCGATCCTTCTCACCGACATTGCTCGCGCCAACATAATCTGTTCTAATGCCGATCTCCGCCAAAAATCGAGTCTTTCTGCTTCTTTATCTAATATGGGCGTATACATACTGGGATGGAGATATCCGACCGGATATATCAAACCTAACGGCACTGTGTTTTCACCTTTTGACTATCTCTATTACCCATGGCTCGACGGCGCAAAACTCAAAGGGATCTCAATTCATTGTTATCTTTTTATCTCTCCCATGTGCTCTGTGGCTGTTCCGTTTCTTCACTTGTTGATCTCGGAACCGGCTTTTATTCTTCCTGTGATGTGGTTCAACCTGTTCATTATTTTTTTTTTATTTCTTATGACGGTGGTGTTTTCTGTCTCCAAATCTGCAACCTCTCTTCCTTACCATTGTCACTGTCAATGCTTCTCACGTCACGGCGCGAATCTCGGAGCTCGATCTACCTGGGACCGGCGTCTATGTGTGTTTTCTATCTCGGAGGAATGCAAAGGTCACTCGAATCTTTCACGGACGCGAGAAACGGATTTGAACATATCATCTCAGATCCTCTCATATTCTCTCGCCCTCTTCGCTATTCTTCTCTTTTTCTCTCTTCACGATCTTCGGCATATGACATGGGAAAGGAGCTTGCTATCAAAGGGAAAATGGAAACGGACAAGGAAATACTGGAGTGAATCACTGCTTATCTATGTTACTTTCTTCTGTGTGCTTTTTTTTCTTCTATTTATGTCTTTTCTGTCTTCTTGCATGGCACGGTATCTATTTATGTCACTCCCCTTGAGTCTTTGTTGTTTCCCTCGATCTTATCCAAAGATGTCACGCATATCGGATGTGGGTGTTATTTCTTATCTTGCTTTGGTATACAGTCTTCACTTACAATGAGAAAGTGTTGCTTATGCCTGAACCTGGGTCATTTTGTTCTGCTCTGTTGATACTTTGCTCTTCAGTGGCTGATGTATTACCAATATCAACGTACTTTGGCAGCCATGCCTTTCCATTTTGTAGTAGTATCCTATCCAAGTCCCCAGTCATACCAAAGTTCAAGTAGTCATTCGAGGTTATCAACGCTAAGACCGGGTAAGATGCTAATCGTGGAGATGGCGCACTCACGTGATGTCCTCGATAAGATCGCCGATTCGCCTGCGAAGCTCAACCTCGTCCTCGACTTTCTTTCGAGTTAGAACGACACGCCCTCCCTTTGAGGATATTTGCGAATTTTGAAGTGGGTCTGCATACAATAAAACTACCAACCTGCTCCGTTGCCATCGACACTCCACATCAGGAGCATCCCAACTCTCCTCAACACCGCCAGCTGCAAAAGCAAGCCACAGCTTCTACAACCCTCACCACCTAAAAAGAAATACGGCCTCAAAATGTCCTCCAACGTCGGCCTCTCCACTCCCCGTGGTAGCGGTACATCAGGCTACGTCCAACGCAACGGTGCCTTCCTCAAACCCCGCGCCGCAGGCTTCGGCGCACCCTACCCACCAGTCTCCGGCGCCAACGGGCCCCCCGACCGCGCCTTTAAACAACGCCTCCCAGACAAACAGATCCTGGAGCACGACCGGCGCCGCGCAATCGAAGTGAAAGTTATGGAAGAACGCGAGCGTCTAGAAGAAGAGAACGAGCGCATTGAAGAAGCGCTGTCCAAGTCTAAGGGCAAAGGCAAGGTTACGAAGAGCGCTAAGCCCGTCGAGGATAAGGAGGATGGCGAGGAGGATGAGGATGAAGAGGGTGAGGGTGAGCGCGTGCTTAGCGAGGAGGAGATGGATGAGCGGTGCGAGGCGTTGAGGCAGCGGCTTGTTAAGGAGATGGAGGCTGAGACGGCGGAGGGTGCTGGTGGATCTGCGCGGGGGAAGAAGGTCTTGCCTAAAGATCGGAGGCAGCTCAAGTCTTATCAGGTGCATGAGCTTGCGGAGGCGAAGATTCAGGAGAGCGAGCGGTTGAGGAGGGCGTTGGGGATTCGAGAGGATCGGGAGACTGGGGAAATTAGTAGTCGGCGTTTTGAGAGGCGCCGGGATTGAGGAAATGATATCTTGCTGGACTTGAGGAAAATTTCTGGATCAAGGATTCTATATATGATGGCGTTTTGGATGGGAGTTTGTTTTTTTATCAACCGGAAGGGATGGCTTGGTGCTGCCACTTTACTCGTCTAGCATTGTACATTGGATGATACATGGTGGATTTTGAATGTCATGAAATGCTTTCATACATTTTGGCCACACGGCCGAATACTAAGTGGATATCATAAACCCCATCTATAACGATTCCCTAGCATTGTAAAGAACAACCACGAATCATGCAGATGATTCTCATGCCACGAATTTCTCAATCACCCAACCCTCCTTTGGATCCTTCCTCTGCACCACCTTCTTCGCCGGCAATGGCCACCCCGTACTGCCAGAGTCGCCCACCAGCGCAGGCACAACCCAGCACGATCTGCGCTGCGGGATACCTTCCAGAAGCTCCGTCTTACCAACGGGCTTGCCATAATCGATCAGCGGTGTGTCATGAGCGATAGCCGCGAGCTGCAAGCCACTAGGCGCAACGAGAGGGAACATGCGAATCTTAGGTGTCTGTCCCAAGAGTGGCCCTGCCGCCGACTGCTGCAGGTGCGAGTACACAATGTAGGGGGGCATTTCCTTTGGCGTGAGCTTGGCCAGCACGGAAGTAGGGTGTATGAAGACTGCGCGCTCGGCAATGTCATCTGCGTGGCGGTCGCGCGAGCGGAAGAGCGTCAGGTATGGCACGTCGATGGCGCGGCGAGGTGCACGCGGGTTTTCTGGTGGTACGGGAGCCAAGTCCGCGCGAATTGCGACGTTGTCGATGAAGCCGGCTGTGACAATTTGCTTGAGAGCTTTAAGTTGCTTGGGTGAGGGTTCAGGCAGTTTGGCCGAATAGGCACCGAGGAGGCCTGGGTTGTTGGAGCGCACAATATCGGAAAGCTGGTGACGCAGCTGGGACGCTTCTTTAAAGGCCTTGGCACGCAGGAACATTTGCTCACAGAAGGCTTCGCCATCGGGAGCGTAGGCATAGGCGCAAATGGCGGAGAGATATTTTAGTGCATCGCTGGTGTCGTCATGTTTGCTTAGAAGGCGGTGGACGCGAGCGAATTCCTTTGAGCGCTGCTCACGCTCGGTATCCTCGAGGCGGTCTGCATTGGTGTAGACCCTCTCATCCTCCGAGTCGCTTGTGTCCGAATCCGAGTCGGGCTTCTTGTTCTTAGTGAATAGGTTCTCGTTCCCGGGGAGCTGATTCTCGCCGACGAAGAGATCGCCGACCGCCAGGGCTGCGACAAGGGCGATGACATATGGCATGCAGCCATGCTGGTGGCCGATGTAGAGCATCTTACCGAAGCGGGGCGAGAGAGGATAAGTCGAAAGACGACGACCGATCTGGGTGACTTGTCCGGGGCCAGTGAGAGCACCGAGGTTTTTGAGCAGCTTCTCGGCTTTGGCGAGGCCTTGTCGGCTTGGGGGTGTAGGGAAGGGAAAGTTGATGACATTGTGTAGGCCCATGCTCTTCATTTGGAGAACGACTCCCTCGATTGGGGTGCGGAGAATCTCAGGCTCGGTGTAATCGGCAAAGTCAGCTTCGTAGACTGCTGAAGAGTACAGTCGATAACAATGACCAGGGCCTGTTCGACCAGCACGACCGGCACGCTGGTTTGCGCTGGCCTTACTAATCCAGCCGATCTGGAAGTTTTGGACGCCAGTGGAAAGGTCGTACTGCTTCTCTTTAGACCGTCCGCAGTCGAACACATACTTGATGCCGGGAATAGTAAGTGATGTTTCGGCAACGTTGGTGGCAAGAATGATAAGGCGCGAGTTTTCTGGCGGTGCCTCAAACACCTTCATCTGCTCCTTGGTTGGCAATTGCGAGTATAAAGGCAGCACATGCACCTTGGTTGAAGAGTCCATGGCCTCTTCACCAAGATCAAAGTCCTCATCATCTTCTGGCTCATCCAAACCAGTGATTTCGAGGTCATCCTCGTCATCTCCTATATTGTCCATCTCCATACCGCCAAGTTCCAAGTCTTCAGCTTCCAGAGGTGCGTCATATGCGGAGAATTGGACTTTGGCCTGCGTGGTATCGAGACGCTGCGTTGGTTTGAATGCCTGCTTGAGCTTCTTTGACAAAAGTCGAATTTCGTTCTGACCAGTCAAGAAAACAAGCATTCCACCTGCTGGAAGTTTGCGATGACCGCGGGAAACCTTGCGGAAAGCTTCCTCCACGTAGTCGCGCTGGGTTCGGCGAGCGAAGTGAATAGTAACAGGATACTGACGACCCTCGGCTTGGACCAATGGAGGCGGACCCTCGCGGAACAGGCTCGGATTTTCTGTAAAGTCTGAGATGCGAAGCGTGGCAGACATGATGACTACCTTTAATGGCTTCACAGACGGGTCCTCTTCACTCATTGACTTGCGCAGGTCCACGATACGGCTGACCATTCCGATGAGGATATCGGTGTTTACACTTCGTTCGTGAGCTTCGTCAATGATCAGAACAGAGTACTTGCGCAGGGCAAAGTCATCTGCAATCTCTCGTAGCAAAATACCGTCCGTCATGAACTTGATGGCGGTCTTCTTGGAAACCGTCGTCTCGAATCGAATCTGATACGAGACTTGATCGGAATATTGACCCAGTTCCTGGGAGACACGGTTCGCCATACTCACTGCGGCCACACGACGAGGCTGAGTGACGCCGATGAGGCCCGGGTTCGGGCTCTCTGGGTTGCCAAAGCCAGCTTCAAAAAGGAATTGGGGGAGCTGCGTGGTCTTTCCGCTACCAGTAGCACCCCAAATGACAATGACGGAATTGTTGTAGATAGCTTCCATAATTTTCTGTTCTTCACCAACCACCGGAAGCCCAAGACGAGCTGTCTGGATTTCTTCAGATCGCTCAACGGGAACGCTGAACGCTTTGCGGAAGGGGTTTCCGGTAGTGACTTCAAGTTCGCGCGGAAGTGGCTCCTCCATTTCGACAGTGTTTTTGGGCTCTTTTCTGGGCGGTGCAAATGCTTGTTGCACCATATCATGAATTACCGGTCCTTCGGTTGGCTTGAAGCCTATGGCCTCATTGATTTGTTGAACAGCCCATGACTTGAAAGCTGACTCTCGGGGCTTGATGCGACGGCCATTTCCTCCGTCCTCCTCCACATCCTCATCGTCCTCGTCATCGTCTGAGTTTTCATCCGAGTTCTCGTCGTCATCATCATCATCATCATCATCAGCAGCAGAGGAATCATCAGATGATTGCTCCGAAGCACCTTCGGAATCCTCGTCTTCAGAGTCGTCCTCAGCTCCAGCCTCCAAGTTGTCAGAGTCGGCCTCCTCCTCCTCATCCTCACTGGAACCCTCGCCATCTGATCCGAAGCCTTCCCAGGAGGGTTCAGGCGCAGGCGCAGGCGCGGGTGCGGGTTTCGACTTGGCCGTGCGCTTCCGCTTTTTGATGACTGGGAAGCCGTCCGGCCCCAGTTCAAGAGGGCGCTTTAATCCACTTCCAACGGGCCCTTGGGGAGTCTGGGGCTTCGGCGCCGGTGCGCCAGAGTTTTTTAACAAGTCTATGTCGGAGTCGTCGGAGTCTTCTCCAGGCGCGGAGGCTGTGTGCGCAGGGGCCGTAGCAGGAATCCTCTCATCTGCCTGTCTCTTGCGCTTTCCCAAATCCTTCGATGTCTGTAGTGCGGAGGTGTCGACATTCGCTTGGGCCAATTTCTTCAGGAGCTCGACGTTCTCTTCTTTTTTAAGTTTGTTTTCCTGCATAGTGTGTTAGAAACCTGCTAGCGAAGGAGTTCGAAGCTCTTCCACGTACGATGTATTTGTCCAAGCGCTTCTGTTTCTTCGAAGAGACATTGGCATGCTGATCTCGTAGCTCATCTCGCAGCTTCTGCCTCCGCGCTTCTTTTTCATCTTTAGATACCGGCGCTAGCTCCGCAATGTTGGTGTCGACCGGCGGGCCTGTCTCCTGGCGCCGATGCTTTTGTTTTCGCTGCCGGGGAACGAATTTCGGCATCTCGAAAAAATCCCACCTCTAGAGACGGAAAGGATTCAAGCAATCTGCACTTGGCTGTTGTTGCTTGCACTCGCGGAAAAAAATCGAGGATAACCAACGGGCGGTGGGATTCTGCCCGATGTAGTGTGGGGAACGACGTACCGCCTTAAGCATTGTAAAGTGATCAACACTCCGCACGTCCAAGCTGGACACTCCACATCTCGATTCTACGGAATAATGGCTTCTCTCGAGGATGCACTGCAAGGATCCCTTAACCTTCCATTTCCAGCTCCTACCAAGCAGGTCGCTGGGATTGTGAAAGGGATCCAAACCGACGTCACGGTCATGAACTTCAGTGATAAGATTATGCTCACTATTTCTCAAGAGGGCCGCCTATCTCATTGGGTATGATTGATTAAATGCATTATCATCCCAAAACCCTGTCTCTTTCTAATTCTTGATAGCTTCATGTTCCCCTTGGAAATCAGAACCCAGGGACTGATGGCATGCATACTTTCCCAGAGAGCGCAGAGGACAGCCTATTACCCCTCAGTACCTTGACAGCAACCTCAATTCTTGGTGGACATGGCCCTGGACAGGATACAGTAGGCCAACTGCTTGCCCGCCAAATTGCAACTGCCATTGCCACCAAGTCTCCTGCTGAGAAGCGGCTCTTGGTCGTTGGTTTGGGCCTCCGTACTGCAGCTTCAGACCGAGATTCCTTCTTCTCCATCATCGACCTCGTGCTGCAATGCATCTAGTCTTTTTGCACGATGGGAGATAATACGATACATAATAAGACATACAGTCTCAACCAGTGACATACGTTCAACACCAAACTCGTCTACAGTCCGCGCTGACAATTACTCGGACGCACACCCGGCTTTCCGAAAAGGAGTGGGTCGTTCTAGCCTGCAGCTTGCAGCCTGCGAATGGGATGGCAATCCCCATACACCCAGTCAATCGAGTTGCAGATTTTGTAACTTTCTCATGGGCTTGTAAGACACCGCACCTGAGATTGGACAGGCGGAAAGGATACCAGTGGGATGTTGGAGATCATACGCTTATTGCAGGCGAAGCACTGTCCTCGGGACTTGCGCTGAGTTTCCCGAACCGCGAAGATCTAAAGATTGACGATGGCTCGTCCAAGCGAGCCTAATCTCGTGAATTGAATACTCCCCAAATAATTGAGAATTGGTGTAGATATGTCTTTGGAAGAAGATGCGATAGCTATAGCTCTCTATTTCACGCTGGGCAAACCACAAAAACAAATACAAGTAAAATCCGTACACCAATGATGAATGCTTTCATCATACATGGAGTCATTGTTCTTGCTAGCTACCAGAGTAAAATAATGGAAACCCCAGACTGCCGTCGCCATAACAGTAAGTTGAAGCATATAGGGATAAAGACAAGCACAAAACTTTTAGCGCGGAAGGGGTATTCACAAATGCCGCGGGCTGCACAAAAAGAGCAAATTGATATACATGAAATCGTGTCGGGTAAGGGTTTGGTCATTCGAGATTGCTGTCGTTTCAGGAATTGGGCGAGGGTTTTTTTCATAAAGGAGTGAGGGGGAGGGGACAGAAAGAAAACGTGTTCGTGGAAGAATGTTGGAAGCAAGGAACATGATACTCCGACCCACGGAAAATTCGTCTATATCGACTAGACAGAATTGATCAGCGGCTCCAGCGAGAGAAGTCTAGATTTTGAAGGATGTTTGTGCCAGATGCTGCATTCCACTCAGAGGCAAAGTCGGTTTGTACCGGCGCAGCACGAGTCGGCAGTTCTTCAGAGAAAATATTGGGCTTCGTGTTGCGACGTTGGCCAGGATATGCGCCTTCAGCAGCCTCGGCACTTTGAGCTTGGGCAGCTAAGGCCCTCTCGCGAACTTTCTTGATTTCGCGAAGACGGGTGCGCCAGGATGAAGCATGCTCGCCGCCCTTGTTGTTCCAGACAAGAGAGAAGACAGATGAATTCAGGGCGAGAATCCGCACGAAAGGAGCGAGATTCTTACCTGAGATGACCTTTGGAGTCGCAGCAGGCGATACGTCAGGGTAGCCGGGCTTGCTCATGACTCTCACCACGTAGAAGAGCTTATCGGGGTCTGTTTCACCAACCGCTGCCCCGGATTCATCGTACGCAATACGACTGCAAGGGGTGATCACGATATTGATGGAATTGAACTCTGATGGGATCGTGTCAAAGTTGAAAGGCAGGTTGGAACGATTAAAGACTATCGTAACAAAGTTGTTGCCAATGTTTCGCTTCTTGTTGATGCAATTGGGATCACGGTCAAAGTTCGTAGGCATCATTGTAGCGACATGGTAAACAATCTCTGTTACCCGATCACGCCAGGCATAAGTTGCCTCGCCGTCAGTATCAGCATAGAGTCCTTGGGTATTGAACTGAGCATTGCGAAGAGAGACTTTAGTTCCAAGACCAGAAAGGAAGTGTTCATAGTCTTGAGAGCCACCGGTGTTTGCAAGGATATCTGCCTCTTTACTCTGACCATTGTCCAGATAGACGACTCCGATTCGGTGGCCGTCCACAATGTCAGTGCGATCAAAGTTGGCAATCGCTCGCCTGGTAATGTCATCTTCAGGGACCGGAATGGGCTGCATTACTGTTGGGGTAGGAAATGCAGTGGCAGTAAGTTGAAGCATGATGTGGCTGGGTAAAACTGCCGTGCGCGTCGCATCGGAATGAAGGTGAGCGTCTGGAGTTGGCGGAACCTGGTGCGGTAAAACAGGCGCAGTGCGCTGTTGATACATTGAATACGTCGTTCCTGAAGCCTGACGCTTGGCAAGCTGGGTCAATCCCGAAATACCGGCTGTCTCAACAGTGACAATGCTCATGCCGACGACCCAGGATTTCTTGGAGACAGGTCCGTCCTCGGGAGTCGGAGGGAAAGTCTCGTACGGGATAGTCTCTCCCAAGTCCGAAAAGGCCACGCGTTGCATCAAATCGATGAAAACCTGACTCTGCTCTTCAACTACTTCCTTGCCATGCTCATCGTGGAAGATGAGTCGGCTGGTAATCCAGTTGACATGCTTTGGACGATCCTGAAGCTTCAGAGAGAGATACCAGAATACCATGACACTGTACGTGAGGGTCATGATATACTTGGACATGGCATCGTGCGCTGGAGCCTCGGCCGCTTCAGCTGCGCTCGAGGCGATTTCCCGCGCACCGGCGCTAAGTCTGGGCTGCGACTGCTGAGAGGCTCGTGCATTTGGCGACTCGGATGCTTTGTGGCGCTGTTCTTGCTCTCTCGAAGTCTGCAAGAACCGAATGCAAATCCCAAACACGGTGCGAATCTCCTCTTCTCGAAGGTTGACGTAGACATCTGGCAGACGCGCGAGCAAAGCCAGGAATTCCAAGATGTGAACGGCAATGTTGGACATGGTTATGACCTTTGACATCTTGTCGAGAATGTTATTCAATGACTTGGTCACCGACAATGGAATTTCATGACAGCAAAGAGAGAGAGCCTGGATGCAGCCTCGGGATGTAGCACCCCAAGAACCAATAATTCCGAGCATGAACGCTCGTACCAGATCATCTTCTTCACTTTTAGCAAAATGCTCGTGGTAGCTGACCAGCATGCATAGTGTGTCAAAGATACAAGCAGCCACATCGCTCTTTTTTAAGCCAGTAAGCGCGGGTGGCTCGTGGAAACTCTCATTTTTGACCTGGTCACACAGAATGCTTCGTAGAAGTTTTATCTGAGGAATCGAGTTGTTGAAGAACTCTTTGTTGCTAAGCTGAGGCCCAAGATGGGTGAGGACGTAGCTGTATACGTCCCAATCGGTCTCCCGCTGAAGAAGTGAGATCACACATTCAACCCACATGTTCACTTTCAAGACACCCGTCGGCGCCGACGTAGAATCGCTCGGGGTCGAAACGCCATTGTTCTGCGTGTGAGCGAACACGAAGGGGCTAGACTCCTCCGATGGCTGCTCTGGAAGCACCTGGGGCTGGGAGTATGTCCAAACAGGTGGCGTCAACTTTGATCCACGAGCCGAAATCGAGCCTCGAGGCCCTGACTTGGAAAGAAAGTTTGTAGGGAGTTCTTTCGCAGGAATCTTTCCACCCACTGGGGGGATCAGGTTGTCTTGCTGAGGAAGGTCTCTCATAGGGCTCTCACTTGGAGGATGCAGTATAGAAGTGACGTCGACATTCCGCCCTAGCACGTTCATCAGGAAATCATTTTCTGAAGTCGAGACAACTGTAATAGCCCCGAGCGAGTCGCATCGAAGCCGGAACAGTAGTTTCAAGACAGTCAGGCGAGCGTCCGCTGGGCGATCTGGGGACTGTGCGATCTGCAGCAAGGATTCGAAGATAATGATGGATTTGGCGGCCGAGGTATTCAGAGCACGAATCATCATCTTGACCAAACCCACCGCGCAAACATTCCCCAGTGTCAGCTCTAAGACGCTCGTCGATGTACGACGAGGAGCATGGCTTGGCGAGGTCTCACGCGGTTCATCCTTTGCCGGATCTCTTTCCATTGGCCCTGCAATGGTGTCGACTAGACGCTTGAAACCTACATCGTCATTGGAGTTGATGGCGGGCTCCGTGATGAATGAAACGAGCGACTCCAAGAAGAGCAGATCATGCTCCGCAGAGAAGTCTGCGAGTAGAAGATCCAACAGGCCATGCTCTTCCGAGAAAAGCAGATGCTCGTTGCCAGCAAGAGCCTCTTTTAACGTATCAAGCGCTAGTATGCGAATATCCGAGGACTGCTTTCGAGGCCGGATGAAACGTTCGATAATCTCCCTGCAATACTGCACCCAATTAGATCCCTCAGAAGGATGGCACAGAGTATCCTCTCTCATCATGTTGATGATGAGTTCTGACTGAGAGGGATCAATGTGTTGATGGTTCTTTGCCAAGAATCGAACTGCCTCTTGCTTTTGTTCCTTATTAAGCTGTTCCCATAGAGACTCCACAACGGATGTTAGCCTGATGATATTTGCAAGAATATGAGACTTGATATCATCGTGCGTGCTTTTGACATGCGACTGTTGTGGGCTGGTTGGAGAGGCGATCGGGTCATCATAGTCCTCGTACACTCTCCGGGAGCAAAGAAGTAGTAAATCAATAAAGGCCGCCCATCCGTGTGCGAGGCAGATACGGCTGTAGTCACTCTCCAGTAAATTTAAGCACAGATCCAGAATGTCTGCGTCAACTCTGCCGTCGTCTTTCTGAGCGATGACCATAAGAGAATCAATCAATTGGTCAAATGCAATTTCAGGCATTCCATCCTGGCCGTAGGCTCGAGCAAGATCGGAGAAGATGTAAAGAGCTCCGCGGTGCACGTTCAAATTCCGCGGAGAGTCTTCGGCAGATGATTCTCTCAAGAAAGTATGGAGAGTCGTCATCATCTCTTCCTGCTTTGGCGACTTTGCCAGGCTGCGCACGGCTCGTGACGTTGGCCCAGAGAGGGATTTAACGGAGGCATGAATACTGCAGAGAACTTCCAAAAGAGGAACGAGGCTTGCGCTGGGGACACTTGCGTACATAATGACGGCATCGAAAACCGCCAGCGAGTTCTTGATATCCGTGGCAACGCTGGTCTTCTTGCAGATCGTAAAGGTCTCCGTCAGAAGCATCTCGATTTCTTCTGGCGTTGGCGACTTGCGCTGGAGAGTGATGAGATCCACCGCAAATTGGAAGAGGTCCCCGAGAATCGCTTCATCTTGAACAAGCTCGTTCGCTTTGAGCGCTTTTCCTTTCTTCGCTTTCGATCGTGCTGTTGCAATTACCATGTAAAGTGGTACAATCCATGATGAGATGATATGAAGGATAGAGGAACCGGTAAAGTCCAACTTTCTGCCATGGTCCGACAGAGCGATTAGCGACTGAACTCGGGCAGCAATCACGTCACCCTCGGTGGGCATCGCGATTGATTCAAATACCATTCGTCTAGCGGTGGGAGACAAGTCTTGACGGGATGCGATCGTCTCCAGCAATTTGGCACCTGATTTTTGGGCATCAATGGAACTCTCATGATGGAGTAAATGCTCTGCTGCACCCCACAACGCCATAGATTGCTCAGCGGTAAACCATGAGAGAGTTCTGGATACTAAGTCCGCTTCTTCAATAGCATGATTCAAGTTCTGCTTCTGTGACAAAATGCGCAAAGAAGACTCGAAATCAGGACCATGAGGCGCATCTGAAGAGCTCGAGACTACGCTGCCGCGATGCATAGCTTCGAGGCTGAGGACGAGTCTATTAGTCCCTCGGTTATCTGTCGTGTGGGATATAGAGTCACTGCTACTATCTTGCAAAGATACGGGGGAATGCGATTTTGGACGACCAACGCCTAACGTCTTGAAGACATCTGCGAAGCTGGAGGAAGAGGATTTGTGTTGGGGTGCTGGTGGAGCATCGTCGGAAGACATCCGCCTGATTATGTTGAGAGAAGTTCAGGCCAAGTGAGTGTGTGGGTTGTCTTTTTATCACAAAGTCAAGTCAGTTATGAGCCATTGCACCACCTGGTCACGGATAGGGCTATCAGCAGGGCCGAGCTAGTCCAACCGTAGGGCCCACTGAAGAAAAGAAACTGACCTTTATTGGGATCGGTAAGAAACAACTCCTTGAGAGGACCGCTGTGCACTTCAGAGCCTGACACAGCGTGCGATAGAGCTGTGACAAAAGTACACCTTCGGTAGTCCGTGCCAAAGCGGAGTCTTGGAGGATCGTTTGAGCGACGGGTCCGGCGCGTGAAAGTCGCCAGCTTGATGCAGGCCCTGAAACTACTAGATTCCAGATGGTACCGGGGAGGAGGGGTGACAATCGCAAGTTGCAGCGGGTATGCAAGAGACTAGAGATCACGGGCAATGAGGTTATTCCAGCCCAAGTCACCTGCGGCCTATGATGTGACCACTCCGCCTTCGTTCAGTGGCAGAAAATAACAGGGAAAAGTCAGAAGTGGGGGAAACCGATGGGGCGGTGAAAGAGCTGCGGCAAGCTGGTCCAGCAGAGGACAATTTAGGCATCAAGGCATCAATAGTGGCAGGATGAGAGCATGTGACGGGCTAACCATATTGAGGTTAGTGTGTTGACGCAGTGGGCTGCCCGTACAATTATCTCAGCGAAACCGCCTTCGTTATTTATTATGGTCGTTGCCAATTTGAGCTTTGCTTTGTTCTGGCTCTCGTTTTAAGCCCAGCTCTTTTTATTCCACTATTTCCACCTCTTGGTGACTTCTCCCTTCGATCCTACCTAGTGACCACTATCTCGATCCTCTTCTTTCACGGTTGCCCCTCGCTCTTGTTGACACCCCACGTATCAGTGAAAATGGCGGAGGCTCTTGGAGCTCTGTTGGAGGCAAGCTTGGATCCACGCCGGAACAAGGAAGGTATGTGTTTCTATTCGAATTGCAAAGGCGATGCAGAACCTATCTAATGACTCTTTGCGATCGAATCAGCCGAGCTTGCCCTGCGACAGGAAGAGCAAAAACCGGGCTATTCGCTACAACTTCTCCAAATCTCTGCGTCCGATTCATCTCCCACCAATATTCGCCTTGCGAGCGCCCTCTGCTTCAAGAATTTTGTCAAGCGGAATTGGACCAATGAGGATGGAAACTGGAAGCTGCCTCAAAATGAGGTTGAAACGATCAAGCGCGAGCTCATCAACCTGATGATCTCGGTCCCTCCCTCAATCCAGACTCAGCTGGGCGAGGCTGTCAGCGTGATCGCCGACAGTGACTTCTGGGAGCGATGGGATACTCTTGTTGACGTGAGTGGCTATAAGTCCTGATCTGTGCTGGAAGAGTCTAGCTGACTTTTTGTTTTTCTTCCCTCCCATAGGACCTCGTTTCGAAGCTGTCGCCGTCCAACCCTACGGTCAACATTGGTGTTTTGCAAGTTGCGCACTCGATCTTCAAGCGCTGGCGCCCGCTTTTCCAATCCAATGAACTCTACATGGAAATCAATCATGTCCTTGAGAAGTTCGGAACACCGTTCCTGGCCCTGTTCGAGGTAATTCAGAGACAGTTCCCTTCAGTCCACCTTGGTTCCTCTGGTTTCACCTCAAATTGGCGCCTTTCTATCGTGTGCGGTTTGGTTTACTAACAATGGATATCTCTATAGGGTCTCGATACTTACCTCGACCAAAACAAGACCAACAAGGAAAATTTGATCCAAGGTTACAACCAGCTAAACTTGATGATCAAATTGTTCTACGACCTCTCGTGCCACGATCTTCCTCCTATGTTCGAAGATAATATCGGCGCGATTGCACAGATCCTTCTCAAATACCTCACATATGACAACCAACTACTCCACACCGACGATGAGACCGAGGCTGGCCCGTTGGAGTATGTTCGTGCCGGAATTTTCGAGGCTCTGACTCTGTACGTCCAGAAGTTCCTTGATGCATTTGGACCTCATGTCGGACAGTTCATTCAGAGCTCCTGGAGCTTCTTGACGACTATCGGCCAAGAGACCAAGTATGACATTCTTGTCAGCCGTGCCCTTCACTTCTTGACCTCGGTCGCTAGCATGCCCGAGCATGCTCCCTCTTTCCAGGCCGAGGAGACTCTTGGACAGATCATTGAGAAGGTCATTCTGCCCAACGTGAGCCTGCGTGAGTCGGATGAGGAGCTATTCGAAGATGAGCCGATTGAGTTCATCCGCCGGGATCTGGAGGGATCCGACAGCGAGACCAGGCGACGCGCTGCGACGGACTTCCTTCGACGACTGGCTGAGAAGTTTGAGGAATCTGTGACCAAGGTGACTCTCAAGTATATCGAACACTATCTTGCTGAGTATGCCAAGGATCCTGCGTCAAATTGGAAGTCCAAGGATACAGCGACCTACCTGTTCTCTGCGATTGCCGCCAAGGGCGTTGCCACCTCTACACACGGTGTCACTGCTACGAACAACCTGGTCAGCATCACCGACTTCTTCCAGCAGCACCTTGCCGCGGATCTGATCTCTGATGACGGAGTCCACCCAATTCTCAAGGTTGATGCTATTAAGTACTTGTACAATTTCCGCAGCATCATCACCAAGGAACAATGGCAGCAGGTGCTTCCCGTGTTGGTGAAGCATCTGGCTTCCGCAAACTATGTTGTTTACACGTATGCTGCGATTGCCGTGGAGCGTGCTCTCTTCCTCAGTGATGCTCAGGGCCAGCCCGTGATCCCCCCTACCGAGATTACTCCGCTGTCCAAGGAACTCCTGGAACACATCTTCCAGCTGATCCAACGGGACCCCGCCCCTGAAAAGGTGCAGGAAAACGAGTTCCTGATGCGCTGTGTGATGCGTGTGCTGGTCGTCATTCGTGAGGGTGTTGTGCCCTTCACAGATGTCGTTTTGAACCGCCTGGTCGCCATCACGGATACCATTCGCACCAACCCTAGTAATCCCAGATTCTATTACTATCATTTTGAAGCCATGGGTGCTTTCATCCGGTATGATTTCACTCCTTCGCTGCCACTGTGTAGTTCAAATCACTGACTTTATCCAGATTTGCCGCCCCCGCGAATCCCGACAAGCTCGAGCAGGCCCTATATACGCCATTTGCCGGTATTCTCCAGAACGACGTGCAAGGTAAGTCCATTCTCTATTATTTTAGTATGTATGTACTCATCGCTACTCTGCTAACGTTTTGTCACAGAATTTATGCCCTATGTGTTCCAGCTCTTCGCGGCTCTTCTCGAAGCCAACCCCTCTGCAACCCTGCCTACCTACTATCAGGAACTGATTGCGCCAATCTTGATGCCGGTCATGTGGGAGTCGCGGGGCAACATTCCTGCGCTAGTTCGGCTACTTTCCTCCATTATCCCTCGTGGATCGCAGTACATCATCGAGCACAACCAGATTGAGCCTATTCTGGGTATTTTCCAGAAGCTTTTGGCAACCAAGACGAACGAAGGCTATGGCTTTGATCTCCTGGAGGCTGTGGTTGCAACTTTCGCGCCGTAAGTAACACTATGTCCTTGACTTTTGAATCGGCTATTAAACTAATCCTGTCACACAGTGCCGCTCTGGAGCCGTATTTCATCCAGATTATGCAGATCATTCTCCAGCGTCTGCAAAACTCCAAGACTGAAAACTTGTCCCTTCGATTCGTCCGGTTCTATCACTTCCTGACTGCTCATGACGACAAGGGATACAGCCCGGACACCATCCAGCAGATCTGTGAAAAGATCCAGCCCGAGTAAGTTCACCCTACTGTGTCCATCTACGTACGCCCGTGGCTAACAATGTGATAGTCTTTTCAAGGGCGTTTACCTCGGCCTTGTGCTCGCGGATACCCAGAAGCTGGCACGCCCTCTGGACCGCAAGACTGCAGTTATCTCACTGACCAAGACTCTTGCCAACTCGGAGGCATTTGCAACCAAGTATGTCAAGGGTTGGGCCTTCACCTGCAACACTCTGCTGAAGCTCCTTGAGCTTCCCCCCGAGGTTGTTCACAAGGATGACCTCATTGAGTTTGACGCCGAGGAGATGTCCTTCGGCGTTGGATTCACTGCGTTGAACACCATCCGTATGCAGCCCAGGGATCCCTGGCCGGAAACCGGCCTCGATCTCAAGGCCTGGGTTGGCGCTTATTTGAAGGAGGCGGACAAGAAGAACGGCGGCCGGGTTTCACAGTTCGCCCAGGAGCGTCTTGATGACCAGGCCAAGTCGGTCCTTGGGAGCTACATTTCCTAGGAGTCTTAGATTGGGTGTGGTCAAATCTTAGGTTGCGCCAGAGAGGGCGGCTATAATGAGTTTCCTTTGTTCTTGAGAAAAACAAACAAAAAGTTGACGAGCCATCAACCCCGGAGCAAATCGGTAGATGGCATGTATGCAGTGATGAATCTCTGTACAGGTGGGCGGTTGGCCCATCTTAAATCAGATAGGATATGCCCAAGGATGTACACGGAGGATGAAGGTGCCCGTTGCCCGTAGTATACAGTATATGCCGTTAACGCCCCAATCAATACCGAAGCAATATATGTGTAACGTCCACAATTGTGTGAGCCAGCGCAGCTCACGTCGACGGGCCCTTCTCCGATGTGCCATTCTCAGTCGTCGGTTTTTCGATATTCCCCTCCACTTCTACATCCTCATTCCCATCCACATCCTCCTTTCCCAACCCCTCACTCCCTCCCTCTTCACCACCCTGCTCCAAATCCCGATACTTCCTCCTTGCCTTTTTAACCTTACTCGCCTTCTTCCTCCTCGCCGCCTCCGCCTTCAAGGCAACCCGACTCTGGTCCCCCTTCTCCCGAGCCTCCACTCTATCCGCCAACAGCGAGCGCGCAATCTTCTCATTCTGCGAGCGTGATCGCGTCGCTTGGCATTTGACGACGATCCCAGACGGCGCGTGGATGATTTGGACGGCGGAGTTGGTTTTATTCTGCGCGCTTGTTAGGTTGGGAACTTCTAGAATGGATTTTCGGGTGAGCAGGGGGCATTATATCGACGTACAATCTTCTGGCCACCGGGTCCGGTGCCTTTTAGGTAGGATACTGTTAGGTCGGCATCGTTGATTTTGAGGCGGGCTGGGAGGGGTTTGGCGGGGAGGATGGGTGTTTGCGTGAAGGAGCGACAGGGAAGTATTGATTGATATGCAGAAATAAAGGAACTTGGGCATGAAGAGCCGCGACGGAGCCGGGACCAGAGTTGTGACCGGATCATGGCGGTTGGTTATATGGTTTCAAGAAGAGTGTCTGCAATGATGTTTCGCGAATAGCTTCGACGATAGCCGATAAGAGATGGACGATAAGGATAACGATAAGGATGATACGCTCCGGGGGTTCGCGGATGCTTTTTTTGGGTCTTATTGGGGCTTGAGAGCTGAGGATCCACTGCTATAAACGAAGAAATTGTTATTCTTGGGACGATTATTTCTCTGCAAGTACGGATTTGCATTCCGGTGAGTTTGGTAAGCTGTGAGATTGTGTTCGTTGCTCAATTCCGGTACAAGATTGGGCTAGTTAGTTACAGGATGCTGACCATGCCTGACGGATGCTAGATGTAACAAATGCTCCAATCAATCGCGGGGATAGACTATCTAGCTCAAGACTCAGTATGAATGGATAAAATTGCATATAGACCCAGGTAATTGTGGTGCTTAGGTACAATGCTTGCCCATAAGTTCGCCTGTCTCTTTCGACCAACTACAACCTAGAATTAGCGCCGGAGTGTTCGATATGTAGGAAATAGTTCCAATTATAGTCTCGGCATAAGATGGCACCCTAGTTGTAATCGGCTTGATCTACTCCCGAAATCCGTCACGGAATCGGTTCCTGAACAGCGCCGACTAGGTAACAGTATTTTATGAAGCATGCGGGTAAAACGGGGGCAGGTTGACGTACACCCGCTGGGACAAATCTTAGACAAAAGTAAGCATTGATAGGTTGGCTATACTGTGCAATGTACTCCGTGGATGCACTCGAATCAACTGGACAGAGATCCAATACGAGCATACGAGACCCTGATTGACAGGTTCACATCTGAAACACGCTGGGCCCGGCGGGATGGTGCACGGCCAAGAGGTGGCGAAGCAACGAAAGTCCCAGGGGGGAGAGAGCAGGTGATCAATTTTTCTTTTAGGTCCTTTTTGCCGGTACGACTCCAGGTTTCACCCACCATCGACCCTAGACTTTCAATTCAACGGTCTCAATCGTTCCTGTCATTTTTAATCCTCGCCTCCTACCTAAGACCGTGGTCGCATTTGTCCGCGTGTCTGAACTCTCCCAACGTCTCTCCTGAAGCACCTCAGCCGCCACGTCCCCACAATCGTCGGCCTTCCCCAGCACTCACCGAGTCCTGTCGATCACGCCAGATCTGCTCCTTCATCCATTGTGACTGCCTTTCAAAGCAATATGGTAGCATAGATCTCTCACTCGACCATCAATTCCCCGTCATTACAACCGTCGCACGTCGTTTCAGGGTCCGGGCGGGTGAACAAAACTAGGGTACTCAATTCGAGCTTATCGGCCATTCGAGGAAGCCGACGCCGTGTGCCAAGCCATCGCTCCGTCTCTGCTCGCGCCAGCTTTTGACCAGGGGGATATTCGTGCGAGCCGAAAGGCAAGAAAGGTGTCACCACCGCCGACTACAACCCAGGCGCCCGTTCAACCTCGACTCTGTTAAACGTCTCCAATCTGCGATTTACACGGAGAACACGAAAACGAAACTGTACAGCCTCGATAAATTTCTTTCGCGACGCTACCAAGAATAACGACGACTTCCTTCCCGCAGCCATGGCTCTTCTCCTCTGGATTCTTACCAGCCTTGTACGCTGGGTGCGCCTAAAGATCTACCAATATGAGGTGACCTTTGCCATATACATGCTCACCCCGACCGAGAAATTCATCTTCAGTATGTGGTCCTCGTAATGAACAATTTGTCAATGTCAATTGAAGCTTACCATTTCCCTATTTGCTCAAACAGACTCCCTCCTCCTCACCTTGACCACCATGATCGCCACTGGCATCTACATCTACCTCCCGGACCACCTCCGCGCCATCTACGGGCACCTCTACTACTACTGGGCCGGAGAGCGGCCTTTCATCTCCACCCGCCTGACCTCATCAATGGGCTCTGTCTTTGGCGATACCGCTACCCAGGGTCTCGAGGTCGTATACGAGACCGCGAAGACGGCGGCTGCCGCTGCCACGACGACACAGTATCTCGGTGATTTGTAACTTGTGAATAGTGTTGCTCCGGGAGTTTGGGGGAGTGGAGAAAGAACACGAATTGTCTTAAAGACCGGCCTGAGGAAAGGACGACGAGTCAATGCTTTTTACCCGGCTGGCGCATCATCGGCGTTTATGTTTGCCTCTATCAGATTCTCGTGTCGTCTTGTCCGAGGAATGACCGTACATCGCGAAGCCAGGCCATGACCTTTTGGGTAGTTTCATTCGATCGTTTTTGCCAGGATATTCGTTCTTGGCCGTCACATTGATAGACACGCTTTGCATTGCGCAGATACTTATCATTAATTGATATCCTTCTGTGTTACCCAAACGGCCTCGGTTGTTGGGATCGTCCAAAAACCGATGGATGGCCTACTCCCTGACGACGAGGCTTTCACAGGATATCTGAACACCAATTTTTTTCCTGTTGGCAGGATTATGCCTATACTGAACGAGGCCACATTGGCCTATAATATATAATGTAATATAAACATCATGAAGATGTCAAAGAAACGATATATTCAAGTCCCCGAGTCAAATATGGTAATCCCAGAATCCGTAAACGCCGAAGATGCGCAGAGCAGAGTATTGTTGTACAAATCATTCGTTCCTCTCACACGTGCAACTTCCACCCATGCCATGCCAAACGTGGCGAGCTGGACAGGCCCCCGCGGGAACAGGCGGAGCAAAGTCAAGCGCCAGCCATACAAGTGCGACAAATGCTAACCCAGCCAGCCCTTTTTGGGGATGGGGTCTGCGAGTCTACCCTTTTTATCCCCCACCCCACACTCGTCAGAATCGAGTTCCCCTCATTGTCCAGTCTAAGACTGCTGTGCATCCGCCTGAGCCTGCGCCTGGGCTGCCAATGCGGCTTGCTCCTTCTGCTGCCGCTCCCGTCGGAGGTTTTCCACCATTCGCATGCGCGACAGCTCCTTGTCGATCTCCTCTTTGTCGATTGGGATCTTATGTGATTGTTCGGCGGTGGGCCAGAAGTTCTTCACGTTGAAGCGGTCGTCGAGGTTTGTGCCGAAGTAGTACATCCAACCGATGGGGAAGAGGACATACATGCCAAACTGAATGGAGCGGTGGTGAATATGGGTTTAACAGCAGGGTGTGGGCAAAGAGAAGGGCATTGAATTCGGTGCAATCAAGACATGAGTAAGAATGTGGTGTATAAAAGCGGGACTGACCTTGAAAACCTCCAGGTTTCCGCCCTGGAGGCGACGGAGCATGTTTGAGATCATCTTGGCAGATGGAATAATCGACAGGGAGCGAATGTTTCAAGGGAAAGAGGTTGAGATTTGAGTGGTATCTTCGAGTTCTCTGCAGCTCAAGCAGTGGCCAGTCAGACGACGCAAGAACTCGGGATCTGGATATTGTCTGATGCGCCCACGGCCCGATGGTTCAAACACCACAAACCAAGACAAATAATGCAAACATGCTGCTCCAGGGCGATGCTTGCATAAGCCGTTATGCCAAGTCACCTGACCTACCGCGGGCCTCGGCTTGCGGTGTTCTCCCCCGCAAAACGGCCGGGCAGTCTGTGGTGCCTGCCACGCGCCGAGTTTACCGGGGGTTTTGTCCCATGCATAATTAATTACACGATCGTCTGTGTCCATAGAAAACCTCCCCCGGACCCAGATAGATTCAGCTTCAATCCATCAAGAGCATCTCTCCATATCAAAAATTGCAACCATGTCCAACGACCAGCTTATCACTCTCACTTATCGGGACCGCGTTGCGATCGTCACGCTTAACCGACCTGACAAGCTGAACGCTCTGAACCAGGAGCTCTACTACCTCCTTGGCGAGCGTCTTCGAGAAATTGACCAGCGCGAGGATATCTACATTACCGTTCTCACCGGCACGGGCCGATTCTTCTCTGCGTACGAGTCTATAAAACCCCCCATCCAATCCAACCTTCTCCAAACCCTAACCAAACTGACCCAACTTTCCCGTGTACAGCGGCGCAGATGTGACAAGCAGCCGTCCCAATGGCGATCTGAGCTCCAACGCCCGCCGTGAACTGGTCAAGGGCTTCGTCGCCAACAACGTCGACGTCACCCGCACCTTCTACAACCACAGCAAGATCCTAGTCGTTGCCCTAAACGGACCCGCCGTCGGCCTCTCCGCAGCACTAATCTCCCACGCCGACTTTATCTACGCCGCCCCGCACGCCTTCGTGCTCACCCCCTTCTCATCCCTCGGCCTCGTCGCCGAAGGCGGCGCCAGCCGCGCATTCGTTGAGCGTCTCGGCATCGCCAAGGCCAACGAGGCTCTCATCATGAGCAAGCGGATATCCTGCGAGGAGCTTGTGTCGGCCGGATTCGTGAATAAGGTGATCGAGGCGGATTCGAAGAATAAGGAGGACTCGGCGGGCTTTTTGAAGAATGTGCTTGCTGAGGTTGATGATCGGTTGGGTACGCATTTGAATCAGTCTAGTCTGTTGAAGATCAAGGAGCTTGTGCGTCGGCCAGAGAGGGAGATTCTGGATCGTCAGAATGGTATTGAGGCTTTTATGGGTCTCGAGCGGTTTTTGATGGGTGTGCCGCAGGAGGAGTTTAGGAAGTTGGCCTCTGGTGAGAAGAAGCATAAACTTTAGACTGGGAGTCAAGGCTGGATGCCCGGTTGTCTGGTGTATATAGCTTCGGGGCTTAGACAACAAAGAAGGGTTCGGAAATAACAAGGTTTATATTTCGCGTGCATGGACAATACATTGAATTTAATTGAGAATATGCACTTTTGACCAATCCATACAAATGCATCGAACAACGCCACGGAATTCAAAAGTTCCGACACGGATGAAACGCCTCTTTCTTAATGCACATTTACAGTTGGTCCATCTAGTTGGACTCATTGCCAGCGTCCCGGTCCTCTCGCTCCTGTTGCTTCAAAATCTCCTGCCACTTGCCCAAGAACTCGCTCATACCACCAGGTCCGGCCAGTGAAGCATCGACAAGCTCCTTTGGCACCTTATGAGCCGAGAACTGCGGTGTATTGAATGAATATGACTCCGGGTCATCCTTCTTAATAAGGCGGAATTCCGGCAAGAAGGGTGCGAACTGATCATCGCCACCAGGAGCGACGTTCTCGACTTCCTCCTCCTCCGAGGAAGAGTCACCCTCGGCCTCCTCTTCAGATGAAGGAGTGATAACAGTACCATCCCGAAGAGAGATTCGTACGAACCCTTCCTCAACGCCGTTGTCTGCCTCCTCCTCGAAACCAATGGGGTCCTTCATCCGCAGGATCTCCAACCAGCTAAAGAGAAGTGGATCGGTCCGCTGCGCCCAAGGGTTGATATCAATAAGCCATACACGCTGGTGTGGAGCAGGAATGTACACATCGAAGGTAAAGTTGGGATCGGGGAAGGTATCGCGCAGCTTCTCGTCGAAGAACGATTGGATCCGGGATCGGAGCATGTCGCGCATGCCAAAGAGGAAGTCAAAATGATTTTGGTCACGTTGGCACATGCAAAGCAACTTGCGATTCCGAACGAAGCATCGAAATTCTAGGGACGGGTTGAAGTTGACGTATTGGCGGAGCACCAGGTGGTAAGGCACGTCTGGGAGGATGTCTTCTGTGGCGTTGCCATTGATGTGGTCTGGTTCACAGTCATCGAAGGGGTGCTCCAAGTCGTGTGTGATGAAGTCGCTACTCTTTAGGAGAAGATATATGTCGTTCGGAGAGCGGCATTCGGTATCGTTTGTTGGGGACATGAAAGTTGCATCTTTGGGTGCGCTCCAGTTCAGCTTGGGTGTGACCTTGCCACCCAATTCTGCGATAGTGTTCTTGATTTGAGTGTGAATCTCCGGCCACTCCGCGGATGGGTCCTCCTCTCCCTCTTCGGAATCTTCGTATGCATCGAGCTCGTCATCTTCTCTCGGAGGGCGCGCTTCGGGCGGAAGAACGATGCCGTCTGCACGGAGGTAGTTCACAAAGGCCGGAGTGAGGGAGATCAGGCGAGACTTTGGGATAAGTGGCCGATAACTTAAATGAATGGTTAGACTTTGTTTCACGAAGATAGTTGCGGAGAGGCAAAAGCATACCGAGGGTGCCAGTCATGGTAGGAGCAACGGAGGATGTGAGAGTACGTCACAGGCGGGAAAGGCAAGCGATCTGGGACTTCGCTCAATGAAGCCTCCACCGTAGTATTTTCAGTCTCCATAACCGGCATTCTCATCTTTTCAATCTTTAAGCTGCTTGACAAAGTCATGGAGGGGAACCGCGGGGACGATTTTCTTTGAGTCACCTGCCGATAACGATAGATGACATAAGCCTGCGGCCACCTCAGGCACCCCAGCGCAGTTGGTGATTTGGTCCCAACGCGACCTTGAGCTTCTCGCAGCACCGTTGTCAGCATGGCCCCCGAGGCTCCAGATCCCCAAAGCCTGAAGTCATGGCAGGATGCGTTTCAGTACCCGATTCCTACGGTTCGCCGTGTGGAGCAGGAACTGCGACGGGACATTGCAAGCAATAGGGAGAAGCTCCGAGCTCTCGTGGGGTAAGTAGTCCACCATTGACGTTGAGTCTAGTTTGGCCAAGTGCTCATACCAATGCCTTTACTAGTACGCGATACCGAGAGCTTGTTGGAACTGCCGAAACAATTGTGGAAATGAACAAGGAGATACAGGACGTGGAGGCTACCCTGACCGATATTGGACGACGATGCAACCCGCGGCTGGTGGAGAAGAAGCATCTTCATGCGCGGCAGATGAAGTGTGATACTACGGATACAGGTACGCTATATCTGACCCGGATTTGGGAGACTCAATTGCTAATATGGCCGACAGATGCCGACAAGCATTCCTTCGGAGCACAACTAGCGCTACTCCACCGCTGTACAACTTCCATCACTCGACTATTGCGCAAACGGGCTTCGATGTTACTTATCGCCAAGGTACTCGTTGTATCTCGACTCCTGCACAAGACCCTTTCTCAACACCCCTCAACCCCGCCCTTCTTGGACGATTTGCGCAATCAATTGGCTTCTCTGCGCCGCACACTTCTGAAACGAATTGATAAACGATTGACATCTGCGAACGGCTTGGACGATAGCATAATTGAATCATTGGCTGCATTCTGCCTCGCGACAAGTTCTTCATCAGACGATGCTATTCATCATTTCCACCAAGTTCGCCTCGATGTTATTACGAGCCAATTGGATTCGTCTCGCGAGAACATCCCGAAAGCCCTTCGACTCTTCATCCGCACACTGCAGAACTCTAAAGTATTACGATCTCGTCAATTCTCTGACGTTCTGTCTAAGCTCAAGACAAGACCTATTCTCTCTGATCCAGAAGTTCGCAGTCTGGAAGGCCTAGAGATTGAAGTGCTAGGTCGTTGGGCTGCTCCAGAGGTAATCAATTTCACACCCTGGATTAAACTGAGTGAGCTCGGCCGCTCTGAAGGCCTCCAGTCTATCAAGGGCTGGTCTTCCCAGGCCTTTGACAGATTCGTGGAGGGAACTCAGAAGGCTCTTGCTCAGAGCAATGGCTTCCCAGAGCTCCTGTCTTTGCGCGCCGATACCATAGAATCATGGTTATCATCTTGGGGCTCAACGATTACCCACGGTTCTGAGGCCGTTCTTGAATGTCTACGTGAACTTTTCAACGACCATCTCAAAAGAATCCTAACCACTCAGGTTCAGGCCGTCGATGACATTGTGGGCCAGATTGCATCCGCCGTGGCTGACTGGGAATCGTCTGAACATGCTTCAGTCGGGTCCCTCTGGGATACTGACTTGGTTGCCGCAGACTATTCGAACGGGGCGTCTAGCTTCAAACACGCGGTAGCGGACCGCCTGCTTGGACGGGACGATGACGTGTCTGCAGTCTTAAGGAAGTACAAATCTTGGCTGCAGTCTGTTCAAGCCTTGAATGAATCGATTGAGGCTCTTCGCCGTCTTAGGTGGACTGATGTCCTGGTTGGTGGCGAAGTAGAAGACGAAGACGTCGACGTCAATCCTCGGCTGAACGATGAAGACCCTCGAACCCTTTCGAATGCTCTCCATTCGGCCGTTCGACAGGCTTACCAAAATCTTCAAGATTCCTTCAATGATGCATTCAAGGCATTCGGATCCTCGCATCTTAACCAAAAGGCCACGTTCTTGCTTCGGCTGATCCGGCTAATTCGCCGAGAGATACCCTCTGGGTTTGTTCCAGCAGATTTCCTATTCTCACGCGACCTTGCTCCCAAGCTGCAGGAGCTGCTCGCCACGGACATTGTGACACATACTGGCTCTCTGGCCTTTGTTCCTGCGAGCACAACTCTCAAGACAAAGAATTCTAGGCTTGTTCCTGGCCGGTCGCTCTGGGAAGGTGAACAACCTGTGCCTGTCCAACCCTCACCGAGCACATTTAAGTTCCTCCGCCGCTTGACTGCAACTATGGATGTGAGCGGGCCTGATCTTTGGGACCCCTTAACCTTGCGAGCCTTGAAGACCCAATTAGCAAAGCAGTTGGAAAAGACGCTCAACGCAACACTCGAAGAGCTGCAAGATTGGGAGACTTCAAGCAAAGCTATTCTCGAATCTGAACCCAAGGGTGAAGAATCTGCCGCAGACGGTGAGAAGGAAGAGAAAGCGACAGATGCTACTACTGATACTGTGGATGCCGAAGACGAGAAATCAAATGATGCCCCTCCTCCAGAGGCTCTGCATGATTGGAAGGTGCAGTTGCTCTTCGATGCCCTTTACTTGGCAAACATGTTAGGCGACCCGACGCAGCTGGCTGATGTCGTGGAGCGGATTCAAAAGAGCGCCGACCCCAGCCTCGCTGCCGCCAAGGCTATCCGCCAGGCCTCTCGAGAATATTGGAAGCGGACAGAGCTTCTCTTTGGTCTCTTGGCGGAGTATTAATACCTACATTGTGTTCTATACATTCGTCATTCTGCAGATTTCTTATTGTCTTTCTTATCGTATTGAGCGATTATACTTAGCATAGTATCCATAAAGAGTAGTGGAATTCTCTTCCAACCAAATTTGGAAATACAGATACACGTGGGAGCTCGATCACTAAACTCGGTATGGACATATCCCTTGCCTATAGTTCCTTCTTATCAAACAGAGAGATCGCGTGCACTGAGAACCAGCCCAAGTCACAATTGCACACATAATGTACGCTAATCACCCTCAAAACTTTGCGTTTTGGCCAAATCGGGAGCAACGGAACTGAATCATATACTTCAGGGACTATCTTATCGGGCTAGATGGCAACACGAGGTGCATATGCCCATGTTGCCAACAGTCCTAAATAACTCGGAGATTGTCTTGCCGATCGACGCTGGTGTGAGTTGTCATATGCAGGGACTTTGGGCACAAGAAACCCCTTGCGAAAACAATAAGCCACCAAAGTCACAACCCTCTCTTTTGACAATAGGATTTGTTAAGTGTCATGCAGGAGCCAGAATAGGGTTCGAGCCCGTTAATAGATCATATGCGCCCCGATCGAAATTCGTAAAGGCCTTCCAGGCGCAGTCGAATTTCCTGATAGCCCTCGGGTATTATGGGGCATTGTTAACTTCCGGCCAAGATAAGACCCCTGTATAGGGCTATTGTGGAGGTCTGGGACCCTGTTCAGGAATATTCGACTTTTGCAAGTCCAGACCTAAGCGTTGGGCAGGGGCTAATTATTTTTAGCCAATGTTGTTCATAACAAAAGGCTGTCCATAAGACAGGTTTTTCCCCTCCAGGAATTTGGAATAGCTCAATTGATCTCGCGCAGCGTTTATTTCCAACATCAAGACCATTTGCAGCGATGGTCTCTTTCAATGCCGTTTGGCTACTATGCATCCTCGCGCAGGTGGCCGTGGCGATCTCCATCCCCAAAGGACACTCATGCACACCGAATAAGACAGTGATGCGCAGAGAATGGTAAATATGATGATAGCCTGCTCTGTCACCATCAACAATATGGCTAATAACCTCTAGGGGGGAGATGGCTCCAGCTGAGCGAAAGAACTACACCGATGCCGTTTTATGTCTGACTCGAAAGCCCCCTCGACTTCCAACTGCAGAGTACCCCGGGGTACGCAGCCGATTTGATGATTTTGTCGCGTGCGTGCTTGTGACTTCAAATATCGACAAGTAAACCCAAAAAATTAAGCTGACGCTTCACAGCACTCACATTAACTATACGCTTCATGTCCACTACAGCGGATTATTTCTTCCTTGGCACCGCCAATTTACCTGGCTATGGGAGCAAGCTCTTCGGGAGGAATGTGGCTATACAAGCTATCTTCCGTAAGTATACTACGATCTATCACAAGTTCTAGAGCTAACTGTGCATTCAACTAGATACTGGAATTGGCCTCTTTGGACGAACGATCTCCACAAAAGCCCCCTCTTCGACTGTAGCGAGACATCGCTCTCTGGCGATGGAGAGTACAACCCTGGAGAGCAACCTCTATCCGGTGGTAATGTCACTATTCCCCGCGGCTCGGGCGGGGGTTGTGTCAAATGTGGTCCCTTCAAAGACCTACGGATACATCTCGGTCCTTTCTCTCGCGATCTGACTTCATTCACCGAGATCCCATCTCCGAAATTCGAATACAACCCACGCTGTTTGAATCGAAGTCTAAACAACTTCGTAAATTCACACTATAATAACGCGACTGTAGTTTCACGACTTTTGGCATCAACGGATATTGTTGATTTCCAGACGGCTATGGACCACTGGCCAGCCCGGCCAGATGGCGTCTTTGGAGTTCATGGTGGAGGACATTTTAGTCTAGGAGCGACCATGCAAGATTTGTTTGCTTCGCCACAAGACCCGGCATTTATGCTACACCATTGCATGATCGATCGGCTTTGGGCGATGTGGCAAAGCAGAGATGAGAAGAACCGGCGATATGCGCTGAACGGCACTACGGCTATTTTGAACCCACCCTGGGCCCAACCAGTCATGCTGAACACAACGATGGAGTTTGGAGTCCTCGATCGACCGCGCAGGGTAATTGAAGTGATGAGTCCTCATGAAAATGGGCTGTGTTATACATACACTTGAGCTGTACTAAAAGTGGATGTGATACACATACAGATTTGCGGGCTGTACTTAAGTATATAAAAGCCAGACACTCCGGAGATATTAATTCTAATCAAGATGACTGACTACCTTGTACTACCTTTTTACATCATATGTAAAAATGGGATGCGGTTACGGGTACAACAAAAGTTTCGAGCGGCACGATAACTGAACACAATTCGGCTGGTTTCCTCGTGGTCTGAAGGTTGATCTGAAATGGGCAGTCGGGAGAAACGTATGTAGATAATGACCGTTTCCACCTGTTCACTAGTAGTCTAGTATCTTGAATTCAATTACAAATGTTGATATATATCTGGTAGAGACTGATACGATTTTGCTTCAGGAATAGGACTGAGATGGAAACTCCAGCAACACATTATATGTATAACCTCGATGATTGACTAGCTATGGACTTTATCTAACGTAAGGCCCAATAAAGATGGCATGTCTGCTGAATTGAAGCTGGGGCCACTAATGTCTACCAGGACGTGGGGATCAAAGGTATTCTTCGGGATCTGGCGACACAGAACAATGGAGGAGCTATTAATATTCCGACGAGTCTTAACACGCGGACGAACTTGCACAACTAGCTGCGTTGTCCTTCAACTGCCTTCCGTAACTCTATTTACATGTGTTCTCAGCCACCCCAAGCCTTCTTTTTTCACCGACATGCTGAAAAAGACCTAGTGACCTTCATGACTAGGAAAAAATAGTCGTGCGTTGGATGAAGATGATTTAGGTAGAAAGACTGCCTAGAACGTTCCCCGGGATAAGGAAAAGCCATACTTCATGCAATTAATAAGTATTACTCTTTCTTCCCCGCGTTTTCGACTCAAGCTCTGGAAGAATGCGTCAATGCGTCATACTTCAAGTCATCAACTGACATCCCTTGTTATCTTGACCTTTTCAAGTCTGAACTTCAATCGATCCTATTCGAGCGGACTCTCATGGCTTATCAACTTTGGCTCGGCCAGAAGGATCACGCGTATAAAGATACAGATCGCGTGGCTTTGAACCTAGGTTCGGCGGAAATAGACGGTGTTGAATTCATTTCGCCAGACTCTGATAGGGCCGTGGAAGAGTCGGCCACATCATGAGCGCGACAAGTTTGGCATGGACGGGAGGGCCGATGGGTAAGGTTTGAACAATAAACGCTTACCCTGCGGCAAAGATCCTCCTAGTCGCCATAATATTCCGCAGCTACCTCTTGGCATTCTAATACATTATCTGAGCGTAAAGCTAATTCAGGGTGCAGTCGAGTAAGAACATTCCCAAGACCACCTGCTAGGTACCATAGGAGGACATTTATTGCGCGGCTATAAGACCCGGAATCTGGGGCTCACCGAGGCCAATCGTTTGTTCGGCTTGCAAGACCCTTAGGCATTCTGGTCAGACTATAAACCATAACTCCGCCACAGAAATCTTGAGTCTGTACACGTATCTACACCCAAGCAAGGAGTACCACTGCCACCGAGCTGCTGTGAACCGTCACAGACAATTCTAGTAATTCGTCCCTGTCAGTTGACTCTTTGATTGGTTTAGAACCTCGAATGGTGAAAACGAAACAACGCTGGCATTCGGCCGCGATCGGACAGAGTAATGCGACTAACAAAGTACTGGAACCCTATGGACAGGCGTGAGACAGAGGGAGCCGCGGTCTATATATATGACACCAAAGCTATCGCCTCTCTCTCTTGGTTGACTATTCCTCGCGCTTGTGTAGTCGGCCGTGTCATCCACTCGTATTCTTTACATTCTTTCACACTCCGATTCTAAGCTTCCATCAAGCTCTGCATCATGCGCTGGTCCATTGGGCTGGTCTCTGCCCTCGTGGGCCGCGCCTTTGCTACCACACCGGGCGTCTCGCCGGCCTCAATTAGCCAGTCCCAGAACCCTGGCACGACTTTCAATATTCAAAAGACCGTCAACACTCCAGAGATCCCACCAACTCCAGATATTGTGCTCCTGGTAGATAACACCGGTAGCATGTTCAATGCCATCTCCGACATCAGAAAAAACCTGAACAGCGTCATCAGCTCGGTTACTAGCTCCCAGCCGAGCGCCGAGTTCGCCGTGGCCGAATTTGGCGATAATCAGGGTGCAAGTACGGTCCCGTTCCGAGTGGACCAAGGGTTGACTTCAGATGTCACTGCTCTACAGAACGCAGTCAACGGCCTGACGGCCGGCGGTGGCGGGGACACTCCGGAGGATTGGATCAATGGGCTCTACCAGATCGCCACGGGTGCTATCAGCTTCCGCAGTGGCAGCAGCCGGGTCGTTGTCCTGGTTAGCGATGCGTCTAGCCACGACCCCAGCGGCGGGCACACCCTAAATGACGCCATTACTGCCCTGAAGGCTGCCAACATCCGTGTCATTGCTGTCGATGTCGGCTATAATTACCCGCCTGCAGCAGGTAAAGGAGGTATCGATGCCAATGGCCAGGCCACCTCCGTGACCAGCGCCACTGGGGGTTCACACATTCCTGTTGGCAGCGGCGCTTCGGGCGTCACAGACGCTATCACCAGTGGTCTCCATGATCTCCCTGTCGATATCACCACCTCCATCACCTGCGGCTCGGGCTTAAGTGTCTCATTCAGCCCTGCAGACACCACAGTGCAGAGCGGCACCGCCGCCACGTTCACCGAGACGGTGAACGTGGCCAGTAATGCTGCGCAAGGCACCACCATTGACTGCGCTGTCAACTTCCTTCTGAACGGCGCGACGGGCGGCGCTGCCTTCGTCCAACAGGTTGCCGTCTCGGTCAACGATATCACACCGCCGACGTTGTCCTGCCCGCACGGCGTGAACCCCGATGGTTCGCCCAACCCGAATGCCAATGCCAACTTCTGGACATTGGATGCCACCGACAATGTGTCTAAAGACTTGAAAATTTACGTGGTCGACACTGTCTCGGGCGTCAAGTTCGGCCCGTACCCGAGCGGCACAAACATCAAACTCATCCAAGCGCCCGGTGCTACACCCAACGTCAAGCCCGGCCAGGGCGCGGTCAACTGGCAGATTACGGTCAAGGGATGTGCCCAGCTAATTGCCAGTGACGATGCTGGCAACAAAGCGACACCGATCAATTGCTGCGCCCGACCATAGATTGTCTTGACATCTGGCAGGTCGGCGTACCAAGAATATCCGGCAGAGTAGGGTGGAGGTATATCTCACACCGGAATATCGACGATCTGGTTAAGAATTATTGTAGTGTAGCAAGGGTAGCTGCTAACGGACTTCGGTGCATTCCAGATCGAGTAATTTGTTGTTCAAGTTACTTTGATTCAGTCATTTATCTTAGGGCCTCTTCGGGAATTGATATCACCATCTGGTTCCAAGAACCGAGGGCTGCTTGATTTTCACTGAATTTCGGGTTTCCCTTCCTTTATTCCAATCTAACGCAATTTTTCCGAAAACATATTTTCAATAGACTATGCAGAACTAATTAATTCAGCTTGGCAATATTTCATGTGCATGCGGCTGGCTCGTGCTGTGATCTTCTTAAATTGGAGATCCTCAGACGCTGATTATCCTAAGACCCATAGGATGAAAAGATAGGCACTATATTTGAGACAACTTTAAGAAGCTGAAAAGCAAAAGTCTTCATCTGAAGTCATAACAGGTTTTTGTGATGTGAAGTATACGTATGTTCCCAACCAATCAGCGTGTACCTCTATAACCTTACCCTGATTACATCATCTCCGTTTCCGCGGGGGACAACGTCACTCAGACTTCGCCGACGGGAAATGTTTCTAACTTCTGCAACCCCCAACCATGGCCACGCCTCGGCTTCCGTTCCTCTACCCGAGTTTGATGCGTGCTGTTCGCTCATGCGAACCGAACACGTATCGATCTCTTCAATATGCCGGTCTCAAGAAAGGTTTCCATACTACCCGGCGACAGGGCCAAGAAACCTACCAACGGCGTTACGGACCAGCCGTTGAACCCAGCCTACCACCACCATTACGGCCGAAGGACAGCCGTTCAACACAGAATACGGATGAAATGTCTGGGAAAGAAACAGTCCCCACAACGGACCAGAACGCTTCAGTGTCAGAAGAGTCGCAACCACAGCCACAACCACAGCAGGAGTCGCAATCGCCGCAGGAGGATATGCATGCGGGTGGCGCAGATGCTGCTGCTTCCGCTGCGTCGGAGCAAGCAGCTGCCGAACCGACCAAGCATCATGCCACATTAGAACCCGCGCTGGATGAAGAAGACTTAGCTACCGAGGCTGAGGCGTCTAATACTTTCACGCCTCCACCTTCAATGTCTGCATCCGGTGACGTGGGGGAGGAGATGTCGCAGATGCCGCCATACATGAACCGTAGCGCTTTCGAAGAAGTCTACCATATGCCCTCCCCGCCCGGCCTCACCCCGACGGAAACGCTAGCATCACACAAGCCGCCCCACATGAGCCCGGCGCCATATGTACACCATTTCGATACCTATTCCCTTGTGCTTGATCTATCAAAGGGTGGATATAGCAACGAGCAGTCTATCACTATCATGAAAGCCGTCCGCACCATTCTTCAGAACAATCTCGATTTTGCAAAGCAGAGCTTGACCTCCAAGTCAGATGTTGAAAACGAGGAGTACCTTTTCAAGGCGGCCTGCTCGGAGCTTCAGCAGTCTTTGCAGACTGCACGGAATTCCGAAATTCAGAGACAGCGTGCATCTAGGACGCAGTTGGAACATGAAACTGACATTTTGTCCCAGCGTCTCAACCAGGAGCTGTCGGGTATGAAGGATGACATCAAGGGCATGTTCAACGACCACAAGATGGCCACGCGCGAGAACCAGCGCATCATCGATACTATGGTTCAGGAATTAAACTACAAGATCACCGTCTCACTCAACAGCGATGGCAAGAGCGAAATCGAAGGCCTGCGTTGGATTCTGACAAGACGTGCGGCTCTGACGGTCGGCATTTGTGCCTGTAAGTTTTCGCCGGCCTCGCTCATCTTCTAAGTATGTCTTGCTAATCCTCTCTCTAGTCATGATCATCGTCTTCCTCAAATACTCTTCGGTCCGTAGAGTCCAGGAACCCAAGATAGCCAAGGAGGTTGAGAAGCCTGTCAAGAAGGAGACCACCACCGAAACTCGGGTTGTCCACGACGCCGGAATTCAAACCGAGGCATCATCCGTGGTCGAGGCACATCTAGGCGAATCCTTGGGTTGAGGTTTTCCACTCCTTACAAACACGACACATTCATTTTCCTTCTTCCCAATCTGTACAACTCATCATCGATCCTTGCATCTGTCTCCTTTCATATTTGAAAATACTGTATACACCGACGAAACAGCCTGTACCAACATAAACATAGACATCTGATACCCTACATATACATTTTTTCCCCATTTCATTTCCTGTGTCTAAACTATCGTACCGTCCCTCAACAAGGACCACCGGTCCTGATCTCTATCTGACAACAGGTCCTGAGGACAATTCCACACTATTATCTGTTCTCTGCCAGCTCAATCTTCCTTCACCCAGGGCACCTCCTCGGGGCGATACTTGTATGCCCTGAAGATAGCATTGCTCTGATTTGAGAACCCAATTCTCTCCATTTCAGCCAGCTCATCCTTGCTCATGACGGCCTTGTAATCCTGCAGCTGTGGAACAATAAATTCCCACACCACCTTACCATCCTCAGTAACTTCCATGATCCGACCAGTAGCCGCTTCGCATATCAATACGTTCCCATTCTCCAGTTTCTGCGCGGACCCCATGAAAGGAGTAAAGAAGCCTAGGCCACCGGTCGTTGTATCCTTGTATTCCCACTTGATCTGCTTATCACGAGAGACAATGATAGCCCGTGAGAATGGCACAGAAATCTCGGGTCTGAAGACGCCATTGTCGAGGATGAGGATGTCACCTGCAGAATTGATTTGGTGCGCACAGTGCTGTTGGCACACTACCGGCGCAGTCAAATGCCAAAGGACTTCACCGGTCTGTCGACTAATGATGAAAACACCGGAAGCATTACGCGTCGAGGCGATGATATTTCCCTCTGAATCAAAGCTGACACTATTAATCAACAGTGTTCGCGAGGGTAGTGCGGGTGCGAGGCGAAAGCCTCTAGGTCGAGATGGTCGATCGCGCGCCAGGACCAGAGCAGCTTCGCACCACCCTTGCCGTTGCTGCCGTCAAAGTCGGCCGAGGAGGAGTTGTTTGAGACAGACCAGGGATCTACTAGCTTGATGCAGTCGCCGTAGATGATCCCGCCTGGTGCTTCGCTACCGGGTATACCGCCGCGCACGCGAGCTGCTTCGTCCGCTGTGAGAGGTTCGAGGGTGGTGTACAAAAGGGTTCCGTCGTCGAGGTGATTCTGGTCATGGTGGGCGTATGGATCAGAATACTGGCGAAGAATTTTGCCTGAGGGGTCGAGCTGCATCATGACGCCGCCGCGATACTTGGCCCACATGGGAAACAGCCTGGGAGCCTCCGAATGAACGCCATTGTATGCCAGAGAGCCATCGGTCAGGATACGGGAATGACAACCGGCACGGCGAGGAAGAGTCCAACGGTGGACTTCTTTACCAGACGTCGAGACGAGGTGTGCCGTCTTTTGCCGTCCCCATGAGGAAGCGGGCCGCTCATTATAGAAGTCCCTGCCGACGCCATATACCCTCGGCAAAATTTTCCAGCGCTTGCTCGGGTATCACGAAGTCTCTCTCCAAGGGCGGCTGAGGATTACGGCCAGTAATCTTAGCAAAGGGTAGATTAAGCTGTCGAGTAGCCGTAGCTGTGCCGTTCACGTAGAATTCTCCAGTAACAGATGTTGCGTTATTCGTTCGAGATATTTTGATCAATGCGGTACACTGCGCAGAAGAAGGCGAGGACCTTGTACGCACACTATATCTTCGGGGAGTAAGTTCCCAACGGCGTAGCACAATCTCAGGGTTCGTACGTGTAATGTTGATTGTGACCGCAAGTTGCACCGACGAGGAGGGAGTCTCGAGCCAACCATGCGCATCAAGAGCAAGATGTCGTGTAGACTCTGATAATCCTACTTCAACCACGAAACTCGGCCCTGTATTCACTGAAGCCGGACCCCAGCTACAATCAGCCTCTTTTTTCCAATTTCCAACCGGAATTGTTGTCGAACCAAGAGGGTCTATATGCTGAAGCAGGTTCATTGCCTGTAGTTCGAACGTAATCAGCTGATCGAATAATCTTATCGCAAGCTCGTGTGTAATCGTCGGCATAACTTTAACGATCAAAATTCCCGTTTCTGCGTTAAAACAGATTCGACTATACTTGCTTGTTCGCGATCCGTCCTGACTTAGTCTAGGAAACTGCGCTGGGGGAACAGACGTAAAGACAAGATACTGATCCTGAGTTTGGTCTTGTAAAAGCTCTTGATGACGACGTTCTAAGGCCTTTCGAAAGCTCTGAATTGTGGTGAAAGGGTGCTCGTTCTTCGTAGATTGTGCGAAAGGATCCTGAGGTTCGGGCTCAACTGACGAGAACCCTGAAGATGGGAGCTCAGACGGTGAAGTCCGAGACGCGTTCGAGATAGATCGAGGGATGTCCATGGTGGTTGTGTGGGTGAGTAGTTGAGAAGATCAATGAAGTAAGTAAGAAGGCAGGCAGCCAGAAGAGGCACTCGCGACTGGTAAATGGTGGCGTGTGTCGAGGACCTCTAAAGGTGAACGATGGGTAGTTACGCCATACATCATAATCACGTGATTACATGCTCTAGTTATCTTGTTGGAACAGAGCTGAATAAGCTATGTAGGTGCACCAATCGGAATCGTAATGAGCCTGAATTGCTAATAAGCCCCTCGGGTTCCAGCTCAGCGGTACTGTTGAGTGATTGGTCAAATTGTGTTCGATTCTTTCTAAGTCTGGGCGTTCCGCTAGTAAGATAGTTCGTGCGTCACGTGCTAGTCACGTGCGCTGCGCTACAACATGTGTGTAAGCCGGAGAGGCGTAACTTAGTTAACTAACAGGTACCCAAAAAAAGTTCATCAGGACCCAAAACTATTCTGTGACATTTTGGGTCCCGATGAGCTTCCCTACCTCAGCGGGACCCAAAATTTTATACGTCTTAAATAAGTTATAAAAACTAGTCTCGTCTATGAGTATCATGATTATATAGGATATCACTACATTTCAAATCCAAAATCCTCAGAAAGGTTGTTGTATTGAACATTATAATGTGATTTGAGCCTTGAGTCTAGTACCTTAACGGGACCCAAAGTTAGTCAGCGGTTTTTGGGTCCCGTTGAGCTTTTTTTGGGTACCGCTGAGCTGGAACCCGAGAACTTTGCTGAGCTTTTCTTGGGTACCGCTGAGCTGAGTGCCCTAAGCCCCTAGCTGGCAATTTAGATGGGCTAAATATATGACTAATCTTGGTGGATCTAACTAACGTAATTCCCGGCCAATCTAGCCACCCGGCCGTCCTGGCCACCCCATCCAAAATCGCGTCTCTCTATTAACCTACCAACTTCAACTTACTACCATGCCACTAATTCGCACTGAACCTAGCCATAACTTGGCCAATCGAGAGGGTAAGATCTTATTGGCTCTTTCCGATTTAAAAGAAGGCCGAATCAAATCTATACGCGCCGCAGCCGCTCTATACGCAATACCTCGCTCTACACTAAAGACACGCGTAAATAGCAAGATATCTCGCGAAGATAGCCGCCAAACTAGCCATAAATTGACCCAAACCGAAGAGGATGCGCTTACTAAGTGGATAATCTCTAACTATAGATATACGTAGGGTAGCCCCTAGGATAGCTATAGTAGGAGAAATAGCAAATATTCTACTAGCTACGCGTGGAAACCAGCCACTAACTACTATTAGTAAGAATTAGCAATCATCCTTCGTTAACCGCCGCCCTAAGCTTCGCACACGCTTCTCGCGAAGATACGATTACTAAAGAGCCCTAAACGAAGATCCAAAATCGCTTCGGTAGTGGTTTGCGACCGTACAGCAGATAATCGATAAGAAGGGTATCTAACTAGAGGATATCTATAACTTCGATGAGATAGGATTTATAATAGGCCTTATATCTACACAGAAGGTTATTACGCGGGCAGAAATATATAGTAACGGCCGTCGCCTTCTTTAACTAGGAAATCGCGAATGGGTTACTACGATCGAATCAATATACGCAGATGGCTATTCGCTTCCGCCATACGTGATTTTCAAAGCTAAGGTTACCATCGCTAGTTAGTTTAATAACTGTCAGCATGTATGGTAGATGCATGCTGAATTGAAATGCATCTGAATGGCAAATGCGGGGCTTTCCCTTTGTGCGGTCGAGATGCGACCAAGGACCCACTTTTCTTACCCCTCATTGGATGACTTGACCTCCTCGTCGGACGACGAGATCGATCAGATTGATCCTCAACGATCTTACATACAATTGCATACACTTACATGCAATGGCCTACCTAGGCAGGAGACTACTCAACACTCCAAGGATGTTCCTTCTATTTTATTTGTCATTCTGCCGTGTACCCCGCGATATAAGTATCACCATGTTTTCTAACTAAATTGAATCAAGTTTGACATCTCTTCATGACATGAGAACTGCTCTCGAGCATACTTGACATAACCCTTCTTCTTTGTCAATCAAGCTGACTACGTGCCTTCTCATGAACCGTCTCTCTTCAATCCTATCTTTTGCATACCTCTTTGTTGTGTGTGTGCATTAGACCTTTCCACCTGTTTTCTGCCGAAGACCCTTTCCATCGGGAAACACCACTTCCAAAGAAAACCTACCTCCCATTCCCAACAATAACCTACTAAAAGATTGGCGAATCGAGGTCTCTGCGAATAGCTAGACTAGCGATGAGATTAGCCTACGGTAGCTACAAAAGCTCTTTATTCCATCAACAAATTCGCGCGTACGCGGCCGATTTCGGCTATTGATCCTTAATAGCCATGATAGTCATCTTACACCTCAATTCGACCGAATCTACGCAGAAAACGACATTATACCTCTTTATATACCTACGCATACGTCGCATCTATTATAGCCACTAGATATTGGCTGTTTTGCTGTGGTTAAAAGGGCATACGGTCGCTTTATGAGCGATCTTACCCGTCGAGGATACAACCATATCGATAAGTTCGATTTCCTTAATGACTACCAACGCGCGCGGCTAGAGGCCTTCTAAAAGCTATCAACTATTCAAAATAGCTTCGCAGCTACTAGTTTAGTTGTCAGGAAGTTCTAGTGTATCCGATCGGGTCCGAGAGGACTGGATCCACATAGAACCTTAGGATGACCAATCAAGATAGAAGTTCTTCTTCTTGCTAGGACCACAGATCGTTAAGGGTCCTTCGATGCATAAGATCTTCTCTAAGTATGAAAGAGTCAAACGAGATCAATAAGATAGATCAAAGAGAGTGTATTGAATCTATGAGGATATTGAATCTGAAAAGTTATTGAATCTGAACTGCTAAACTAGTGAACGAATGGATGTTTAAATACATGATTAGGACAGTTTAGACAGTTGAATCTAGACCTAATCGTTGATCTAATCGATGATACGATCATATATCGATGATCTAATGAATCGATGGATTAGGAAGTTGTTGGATGTTAGTATCCGTGGCCAGATTGGCCGATTTCTCATGTAAAACTCTCTGTTGAAGAGATATGGCTTTTCCCCGGAGAAAGGATAGGAAAAACGATGGTCCGGTCCGGGCCGTCAGCCAGCGGGCCGCACGGTCAACCAACTTCATATAGCCACACACGCTCACATAGGCTGACATTAGTGCCAATAGATACAGAAAGGGTCCTTTCAAAGCTAAATATCTCTCTACGAACGCTAACGCCACTAAATAGCCGGCTAAGTAGCAGATCTAGCTAATTCACACTAAAAACACCTAGGACCGTCACCTAGCTATTCAAGCAAGCTTCTTTATTAAAGGATCTATTAGATTAGCGGTCACAAAGCCCTCTAAGCCTAACCAAAACCGTGGTGGATCAGATGATTAAGGGTGGCTATCTAGCTTTATATACCGCTGCCCTACTTAGCTAGGAGAACGCTAATCTACGCGCAGCCAATAAGAAGAAGCGCTAGAAACGCTAGCGGTCAACTAGGCAGATACCCTACGAAGAGGGCCTATCTATTGAAGAAGCCATACAGCTAGTTAAGTAGCTAAAACAGCCAGTAGAAGGTGATGGGGTAGGATCACATAAGCAGGGCGAATTACCTAATTAGGTAATTCAACCACCTACTAGGGCCCCGCCTAGGTGTAGTGGGTGTAGAGAGATTGGCCATAAAATTAATACATATAAAAATCGCTATATTTAGTTGAATTAATGGGTGTTGGTTAAATTGATCGATTTTGAAAATTTCTAATAAGGTGGGTGGCCAGGACGGCCGGGTGGCCAGATTGGCCGGGAATTACGTTAACTATAAGTTAGTATCTCCGTTTTCCTAATAAAGAATTGCGTTTTGCTATTTGGCCGTCTTTCAGCAACCTTCCTCCGCCACGCTCCCGCCTCCTTCGGCCACGCACCAAACCACTCACCACTTCATGCCTCAGGCTGCAAATTTATAAGCGCTAACATCCTTGGTTCCCTGAGGGCTCATTCATTAGTAGCTTCACCACGCCTACTGGGAGGAAGGCGCCGAAAATGGCCTCCTTCAGCACCACGCCAGCTGTACTCTGGCCAGCTCCCAACCGCCATGGCTATAAATATCCCCTTCCCACCCATCCTCCGTCCAACACTGTCCTCATTCCGACTCAAATACCACTCCAAAAATCTCCCTCTGATCTTCCGTCGTGCTTTCTTCTATTCAGTCGTGTCGTGCGTTAACACATCTCGAGCTCCGAGGTAGTTCCTTCGCACGCTCGGCGAACTTTCTTAGCCATGTATCGTCGGAGGACGCCCAATACCAGCAATCACGGAATCACGAGCGAATCCTCTTGTACCTCTCCCATCGATACCGACAATGATAGACCGTTCGAGCCCGATTCCTCTGAGACCGATCTCACCGAGCCGGAGCGCTCCTCTTCAGCGGGTCGAACGACTGCTCGGAAGAAGCCAAGCCCAAAGACTGGAACAAAATCGTTACCAACAGACCTGTCGAATGTGGAACGTGTCCACCAAGCCCGATACCAAGTCCCCGATGATGACACGGATGAGGACCTGGCCCAAGTGCCGGAGGGTCTGGCGGCATGCTGAAACCCGAAAGTCGTGGCAAACGAAATCCCTAAATCATATTTGAGAGAAATCAAGAATGAATTTAAATTGTAAGGCGTAATTGGATTGAAAAGGCTCAAAAGGCCGCACTCGTATTCGCTCATTTGAGTTTCTCGAGCCAACAACATTCCTGGCGTCACCTGATTGTGGATAAGATAAGCACGCCACGAATTTCCCGATGAGGCAAACCAGCAGGCTTCTTACACACAAGGTAGGCTAACTATAGCGAGGTGTGACTGTTATTGATACGGATATCAAGTACATAACTCTACAAGCTGGAGAAACTAACATAGCAAAAAGGTCATATTAGAATCTAATTCATTGCGCTCATAGAGCAGCGTCATCGTTTATGGTCTATA